GCCACTTGAGAGAAGGCAGGCTGTGGTTGGGGAGCAGCCTGCTGCAAACGGAGCCGCGCGGCGGAGGCTGTGCCTCTGCCATCCATTGCTGGATGGAAGACATTTTGCTGAGCACAATCCGTGTGGTTTTAAACACTGGTGTTTGTTTGACAGTTTCTGCTTTTCTGCCAGGACGGCCCAGAGGAGCTCAGTGGAACAGCAAAAATTGCATCCTGATGCAGTGTAGAACAGGTTGCCCAAGGAGGCTGTGGATGCCCCATCCCTGCAGGCATTCAAGGCCAGGCTGGATGTGGCTCTGGGCAGCCTGGGCTGCTGGTTGGTGACCTGCACACAGCAGGGGTTGGAGCTGGATGAGCATTGTGCTTCTCTGCAACCCAGGCCATTCTACGGTTCTGTGACTCTAATAGTTACAGACCATTAATTGTCAAGCATTTCTAGTTGCTCAACAAAGAAATGCCATAAAATTACTGTTTTACCCATATGTGTAACAATGCTTCTGACTGCTGTTCCATCCAGCGGCTGCTGATGTGCACAAACAGTGAGGATGGACTTCATGCCTGCACCTGCAGACCCAGCAGGAGCGCACTGTGCCATGGGGCCCAGCTCAGGAACTGGGACACACCTGGGGAACGTGCAGCAGCACAGGCACTGCTGTTTGTGCAAATCCCAACTGCTGCTACCCGGATGTTGGAATGTGACACAAGAGGAAAGCACCCAGGACATCGGTAGCGGTCAGCGAGGAAATGGCACTCTGTCTTTCCTGGCTCCCGGCAGCACTGCATGCTGAAAGTCCTCATTGCAGCTGAGCCACAAAGAGCTGAAGTGATTTGTGCCTATGCACCTTTATCAACAGCAATTTTAGCTGTCCTAGGATGAGGAGGAGCGGCCGCCGTGCCGACCATGCAGGGATCTCCTCATCCCTCCCAGAAGGAAAAGCTGCGCCTGAACCCCGATGGAGCCACGTGAGTGACTGCACAAAGGCTGCTGGTCAGCTTCAGCCGAAAGCAGAGCGTGAGCACAAAGAGGAGGATTCAGTAACGCCTGTTTTAACCTCATACTTTTTCACAGCCTTTCTTCTCACCACCCCAGGAGCACAGGACACAGAGCAGCCCAGGTTGCTGCTGCGGGCTCCGTGCAAACACTTCAGAGGGCTCTCATGATTCCATCCGGGATGAAGCGCACAAGGAGGGCAGCAGAAGGCCCGGCTCTGCATCCAGCACCTGCTCTGGAATGATGTGACATCCCTCCTTCACCTGGCCGTGCTCAGTGCAGCATTGGTTTGGAGAAGGCCTCCAAGATCCACAGCCCCACCTGCAGCCCACCTCCCCACACCCACAGCTCTGAACACCCCCAGGATGGCAACTCCCCCCATTACAGCTGTGCCAGCACTGACTGCTCTTTGGAGAAGCTGCTCCTGTCATCCAACCCCACCCTCCCTGGCACATCCATTCCCCACGGATGCAGTGCCAGGGATGCCCAGTGGCAGTGGGGCTGCTTTCCAGGAGCTGCAGCCCCCCCGCAGCAGCACACAGCTCCAAAGGACGCGTCAGCATCACAGCAGCGCCGACACGCGACAGCCGCTTGCTGTTTGAAGCTCAGCCGCAACGCAGGAGCGACAATGGTGGCTTTGTGTGCTGCTGGGGATGCCTTTCTCCCCAGGGCTGTTGGTGTGGGCAGCGGCGGTCTCCAAGGCCACAGCCACGTTTGCTTTGTGAGCAGCTGCCACGTTGAGGACAAAGCCCCCCTCGGGCTGTCCCCATCCCACGCTGCAGTCGCACCAGGGCTGCTGGTGCTGCAGCTGGGGCTGGCACGTGAGCAGTCCCACAGCCAACTGCGTGGCCACTGTCCTGCTGGTTCCCAATGGGAGGAGAAGGGAAGGGCTGCAGCATCCCTCCCTGCTGCTGTCCCCATGGGCCGGAGGTGAGCTGGGCACGTTGCTGTGCCCCCAGTGCTTCACACAAACGTCCCCTGCACTCATCCTGGGGCGATGCTGGCTCGATACCAGCCCTGCTCACTCATTTCCCAAAATAATGCCACAGCTTGGGACAAGTTCTCCATGGGCCGAGGATGGTCGTGGAAGCAAAGCCACAAGGAATGAGGACACTGGGCCAGCAGAGAGGGACAGCCACCACACAGCTGTGCCTGCTGCGCTGCTTCCTGTGAAGCCATCACTGCTTCGGATGGGGGAAGCTCAGAACGTGGGACAGCGTGAATCTTCAAGCATGGTTTCCTTCTTCAGGAGGAGCTGGATCTCAAGGCACAGTGTCTCCATGCTGGCAGGACTGATGGCTCTGGGCTGGGGCAGAAGCTCATTAGAGAGAGCCATGTTGGAGATGGGCAGCAGCGTGCGATGCCAAAGGGCTGTGGCACAGCTCCCACTCAGCCCAAGTTAATGCTGGTGCTGCCCTCCAAAGCCCTGCCTCGGTTCTTGCCCTCACTTCCCAGCTGGATGCTGCTAATAGGGGACGAGTCGGGCTGGCACCGTTCCCTGCCCCACAGCGGCCGTGCTGTGTGGGTCAGAGCTGGGGTCAGGCTGTCACTCCTGATGCGACAAAGCCCAAAGTTTTGGGGATTTCCTGCGCCGATGGAAAGAGAAAGAACTTGGCAGCGTTCCTCCTGGCCTCCTTCCACTTTCCTCTTCTGAAGTGAGTCTCCTTTTTACGGCTCCTTGCTTAAGCCTTAAGCCCGAGCAAACATCGCCACAGAGTTCATCCAACAGAAACAAACGGGGACGTCTTCTCGTGGCTGCAGAGCTGCAAAGCTGCCCACAGGCAGCACGCCCTGCCTACAGCCCAAACAACGCCGTCCCAAAAGCAGAACACGGGACCAGGAGCGAGCAGACACACAGCAGTGCTGCATCACAGCCCAACTGCAGCACAGAGGAAACACAGAGGGGAGGTTTGCCAGGGTGCCTGCAGCTGCCGCCCCTTTGCAGCCCCTGCTTCCCCGAGCCACAGACCCTGCAAAATGCAGGAGAGCTTCCCATGGGCCACAAAGGCACAGCAAGGGGAAAGCGAGTGCTGAGCTTTGTGGCAAAAGCTACTGAAGCCGTAAGCTGCTTTCAGCATCACTTTTAAGGATGACAGATGGAGGCAAGAAAAAACAAAAACAAGCAAACCCATCCTGCTCTCTGCTTCAGCCCCCAGAGGATTGGAAGTCACTGCTGCTTTTTAAGCAGGTTTTACAGCCCCACTGTGGGCCACCTGCTCTGCAGCCCTGCGTGCTCTGCCCTTAACTCAGCCCCTCGTAACAGCGCTCTCAGGCACTCCCTGGGGACAGGGTGCAGCACAGAGCAGCTCCGCATCCAGCAGGGAGCTCCAGCCCCACTGCAATGGGAGCACAGCTCTGAAACAGAGGGCTCTGCTCCTTGTGCCTGCAGAGCTGCAGCTCCGGGCCAGCCCAGGAGCAGAGAAGCAGAGGAAGAAAGCGATGGCAGCACGGCAGCTGCAGCCCTTCTGCCACGGAAAGAGGCAGACAGAGGTCAGAGTTTAAGGACTTTATTCTCTGCACCGGCAGACGTCTATTACAGCTGCAGGCTGATGCAGCACAGAGCCCAGCCGGACACACAGCTTTCTCCTCCACAGCCCAGGACTCCCAGTACACACAGCACAGCGGGACAAAGGCAGGAGCACGCTTCTATCTGGGCAGGATAAGAGGAGCAACACCGCCCCACAGCGAGCTCCTGCATGGCAGAGAGCTGGGCAGGAGCCGAGGTAGAGAGGCTCACACCAAGTGTGACTGCAGGCACGATAAAAGCAGAATGTTTTTAGACCACAGACCAGGCAAGAAGTGATGCCAGAGAAGAGCAGCGCCCCTCAAACACAGCTGCCAGCTGCTGCTTTTTCTTTTTGCACAGAGGGATGGTTGGGTTGCAGCTATGACAGCTGTAACGTTGGACCCGTGTTCCTCAGCACACAGCAGTCCCACAGAACTGGCTGCTGCCCTACAACCCAGCTGATGGTGCTGCCTTCTCAAACCTGAGCTGGTGTTGTTCTTGTTTTAAAATGAGAAGTTTGAGTTCAAATGCGTCCTCCCTGTTCTGCAAGGTGTGAACAGCAGTTTAAAAAACATTAAAAAAAAAACACAACAAAACACAAGATAAAGTCAGAATTCCACCTAAGGCACCATTTTTTTTGTTTGTTTGTTTTTTGCAGAAGGGCACAGGAAAGGGGCTCCCACAGAGCAGGCTGAGCTGTGAGGTATCTGCAATGGGAGCAGCACAGCTGCCAGGCCACGCTCCTGCAGCACCATGTGGGCATGGAGGAAGAGCTCTGTGCAGCACAGCAGAGCCATAGCAAAGCAGCAGCCCTGCCCTGCTGTCACTGAGGTTGTGACACAAGCAGCAGCAGCACAGCTTTAGCACCAGCCCTGCTACTCTGTGGAACCGTGAGTTCTGTTCCAGGGGGGTGATGGAGCGCCCTGCTAGAGGCAGTGCTGGCTGCAGAACTCCTCTTCCCTCCAGAAGGATTCCCATTTCTCAGCAGGAGAAGCTTTGCTACTTGAGAGGTGGCTGAAGGCAAATACAGAGCAGCAGGAGCGTCTGCAGAGCAGCCAGAGGCACGCTGATGGATCCATGTGCTCCCTTCAGAAGTCTCACAACAAAATGCCCAGCGGCCACAGGAACACAGCATGGGCTCCCAGCCCTCCTGAGCCACCCCGCGCCATCCCATCATCATCACACATCATCAGAACCCACGTCAGGTCCCAGAAACTGCCCACTCTGAAGCACCACCCTCCTCAGAACAGCAGCTACATTCAAGTCGTTAGGAAATAAAGCAGTTCAGTAAGTGAGAACACGATAGCACAAAACACACCATTTCCCACAGGGTTTTGTCTGGAGGGCTCCTGCAGTACCACGTGGGAGCCCCAGCTGTAAAGAACCATTTCCTCACCTCACCAAAACCCAATCAAAGCCCAGAGAAAGAATGAACCCCACCCCTGCCCCCCACAGCAGAACCAAGCCTCCAGCACAACCCAGATGATTCAACCGCAGCACCATAAAGCTTGGTCGGACTGTATTTAAATTAAAACAAGGCATTTAAAAAGCTACCAGCACTAAAAGACCCTCACTGCTCGCCCCAGCCGTGCCCCACGCAAGGCACCGCAGCCTCCTCCACCAGCTGGGGGATGTGGTGATGTGCAAAGTCGTTCCCATGGAGCAGCACACAGCCCCAAAGCCAGCTCCCAGGTTGCTCAGTTCCAGCGGTGACCGCAGCATTCCCAGCAGGATGGGATTGGATTCCCCAAGAGATGAGAGCAAACACCAGATAACCACCAGCAAGGAGCAGGCTGCAGCCTTCCCCCCGCCACGGGATGCAGTCTTTGTTCACTTTTTTGGCCCTCAGAGCTTCTTCAGGCGGCTGTACAGCTCCCGTTTGCTCCTCTCGCCGGCCCAGGTTCGGCTCTTGGTGCGAAATCTTTTCAAGTCTTCTTTAAAGTCCTCGTGGTGCATGGGGCGGTAGCTCTGGGGCTCACAGAAGCTCTGGGGGAAGAAACGCGTTCGTTTCTGCTCTCATCTGACTGTGTCACAGGCTCTGAGCACAGCCAGCAGAGCTGCTGACACCGCTGCCACCAGAACAAACCACAAGGAGCCCCACATCAGATACTGCTGAGCAAGGCCCAGCGATCTTCAGATTACAGCTACTTCTGAAGCGAGGGTTACCAAAGAAAGCACTTTTGGCCCTGCAGACAGAGCTCTCACCTCAAGCCTTTTGGCAGACTTCAATATACAGCACAAGCAAGCCAAGTATATTCAGCATTCACCCTGAAGTCATACAGATCTGGAACACTTGCTTGTCTGGCTCAGCCAGCCCCCATCTCACAGAGCAGCACATGGAACTCCGCCATCAGCTGTCCCATGCTGCCACCTCGAGGCCCTCCAGCCCAGAGCCAGAACAATCCTGAGGCACCCACAGCCACACAGGGCCAAAGCACAGCAGCACCCACCACTGTGAACAGCAGCAACCCAAGTGCTGGGATATCACACATGGGGAGCAGCACACAGCACTGCCCTGCCCCACAAACATGGGCGCAGGGAGGATGAGCATCTCACATCTGCCTGGAACTGCAGCAGTTCTCCAAGCAGAGAATCTAAGAGATGGTCCAAAGTGTGAGGCCCTGGGAGGGACTGAAGTGAGAGGCAGGCCAAGGTTCATAGCATCAGACAGGGAGAAATGGCATACAGTGACTGAAGTGCTGCAGAAGCAGAATGAGGAGCACTGTGATGGGAAGAGCCACTGGCACTTATTGGTCTCCTCCATGGAAGGATAGGTTGGAAACTCAGAGCTCAAGTTTTCTGATTTTGCTTTTTTAGTACAGCACAAGGCTTGAGGTTTCCATGTGTCATAGAGAAATTACTGCCAGGTCTCTCACCTAGCCTGCAAAGTCTAGGAGAAAAGTCTTAAACTCTTTCTCTATGTAATATTTTGAACTCCTAGTTGCTACAGAAAGACAAAACAGTTTCATATATTACTCTAGAAACATTAAAAGCCTCCTGGCCATGGCAGCGAGGCAGTTCTGAGGTATGGAATTGGCTTAGAGAAATGAAGGCACTATTGCTGCCAAGTTCTGACTGCTCTCAGTGCAGGGCTGTGCTGTGAAACAGCAGAAAGAAAAACACCCCAGGAAAAACACTCTCTGCTCCACAGAAAGTCTGATTTGAGGTTCAGGTATTTTGAGAGCAGAAACGTGGAGCTTCAGGGGGCGTCACTTACCCGGCACCGCAGGAAGAAGTCCCTGTACCCCCCCTTGAGGACGTAGAGCTCAGGGTAATGCAGGTTGGGGTACTCATTCCCCAGCCTGTCCCGCTCCCTCACAAAGCGGCACCTGCAGACGAGAGCCCGTGTTAAAGATGGCATTAAGCTGCAGGGGGAGCAGTGCCTCCCCTGCCCTCCACAGCTCACGTGGGGTTTGGGGGTAACTCACATGCGGGGCCCCCGCTCCGAGGAGAACTCGCAGTGGAAGACAACGATCACCCGTTTGTTCTTGGAGGGAGGGATGGGGTTCTTAAGCAGGAAATCTTCCACATCCTCCTCCATGTGGAGGTTTACAGCACCCTGTGAAGGCAGCCGGTAAGCAATGGGCGCCATCCCACTCGTGCCAACCCTCTCTTGATACTGGGGACAAAGCCTCAAAGCAAAGCAGACACCGCACGCAGCCCAGTGCCGCACCGCCTCCCATCCCAGAGGGCCCCACCAGCAGCTGGAGGCGGCCTGCTGGATCTCACTCACTGTACTGCAGAGGGGCAGCAAGCTTAAAGAGCAACAAGCTTTAACAACACCCCCACAGCCACTCATTCTATAGCAAAAGACCGTGCGTTCAGTGAAGCATCGTACTCCCACCAGCACCTCAGAGGTGAGGATGCTGGGCACTGCAGGTGATGCACCCTGCCCTGGAGCAGGGAAGCAGTTCCCCCCCCTTACAGAGCACAAACCAGGTGTGTGTGCAGACCAAACAGCACAAAGGCACACCGAGAGCCCAGGGCTGCCGTTCCATGCGCTCTGCCTTTGCTCTCCCACTACCACAGCACACCTTGATGTGTCCTCCTTCGTACTCGTACGGATAGCGGCAGTCAATGATCACACACTGCTTAATGAAGCTTGCAAACTTCCCAGTCAGGACAGACACAATCTGAAAAGAAAAAAGAAAGAAGCACTTTAATTGTTTAGAGGGCTTTTTTAATTACTGAAGAATGCCTCGCTGTCCCCAGAGCACGTACCATTTCCGAGTCAATGTACTTTAAATCTTGATGCTTCCCATCAACAGTGTGGAACAAATAACCCTAGAAAACAGACAGCATTCAGCAGAGAACATTCCAGCAGTGAGCCACACACTCAGCACCCAGCAGTCAGCTTCAGAACATGCTGCACTGACAAGGATTTCTCAAGCTAAGCGTAACATTCAAAAGTCCACAACCCCAGGGTTCAGGGGCACAGCTTTTCTTTGGCTCCTGCACTGAAGATCTTGCAGAAATCACTTCAGGACTGACCTAAGACAGCACCATTCCCACTGGCAGCCCCCAGGGGCTGGGGACGCACTGCGAAGAAGGGAAGAGCTTTACTTCACCTCTCTAAAAGAGACCATTAAACCAAAGCACGTGATTACCTTTGAGAAGTCACCAATAAGGTCCCTCTGGTCACTGGCCAAAATGCTCTCAATTTCTGCTGCAGAGGATTGAGTCTTTACTATTTTTGTGTTCTAGAAGAAGAGAGGTTAGAGATGAATGCCAAACACTGATGGCATGAGACTCCTTCCCCATAGGGTAAGAGAAGAGGCAGCGTTTACTGACAGCCTGACGCACAGCTTCCCCTTAGGATCAATAAGGGTTCAGAGCACAAAGCCCCTGCGCCACCTCCGTCAGCCCCACACCACTGTCAGAGCAGCAGCTCCCCCAGTAAGCCCAGCAGCTCAGCCCCAGTGACCTTCACAAACGAGAGCCCTGCACCACAGCACCAAGCCACCAACCCCTGAGTCTTCAGACTGTGCTCCAGGCAGGCTTTTCCTCTTCTTGCTTTTCCCTGGAGAACTCTCCTCCTGGGACCTCTCCATTCTTTTCTGGGTGGTTCTGCCCACACCGCTGGGCAGAGACGAAGAGCCAAAGAGGCGGCATCGCCTGGCCTGGGGGAGAGACAGAAGATGTCCAGCAAAAACCAAGACGAGAAACTAAGCAGGCCTCAGACTTCCAGACTACCCAGCCTAGCATCAAATGCTGGCAGCCCTGCCTACAGCAGAGAGGTGGAAGCTTGATGATCCTTAGGGTCCCTCCCACGTCAAGTCATTCCATGATATGATGATATGGTATTAGCAGGACAAGGGGAAATGGTTTGGAGTTGAGGGAGGGCAGCTGGAGGTTGGATGTCAGGGAAGTTGTGTGCTGTGAGAGCGGGGAGGGGCTGGAACAGCTGCCCAGAGAGGCTGTGATGCCCCGTCCATCCCTGGAGGTGTTGGAGGCCAGGTTGGATGGGGCCCTGGGCAGCCTGGGCTGCTGTGCAATGGGGAGGTTGGTGGCCCTGCATGGCACAGAGGGGTTGGAGCTTTGTGATCCTTGAGGTCCTTTCCAACCCAACTATTCTATATGATACGATATGACTGCAGTAAAGTTTGGCTCATCTAAGGTGCTGTCACAGCACAGCAACAGCAGGATGTGCTCAGGATCACCTACACTGGGGGCTTACATTCCCACTAACAATTGTTTCTGGCTGTGAGGACAGACGAGCTCAGAGCACAACGCTGTGTGCTGGCAGAATGCTTTGTATCAACCAGCAGACCATCCAACAGCAGATTCTGAGCCTGCTGTCGGAGCCTGCATTGCCCTCACAGTCTATTACCTGAAGTCTGGGCTACAGGCATTCCAGATAAGGCTGTATTCAAGATACGCCAGTATCTGATAAGGGAAGTCAAGCTCTCCCCCCATTTCTAAGTGTCTGTGTAAAAAGCAAGTTCCCGTGGATGCACACCACTGAGAGCACTGCCCTACACTGGCACAGCCTCCCAGGCAGCAGGCTTAACAGGAACACAGTCCTGCAGGGGTCTCACACTGCCCTGTTTTGTGGCTGAGGTACAGGATCAGAGCACCTCGAGCTCTGTGAGCACAGCACTCACCCGGCTGTCCGGCCTCCTGCCAACCAGCGGCGCGGTCCAGAGGCTCGCCACGTCGGATGGCATCTCCTCATCGTTCTGAGAAACAAAGACAGTTGGCTCTCATCTGCCTCTCTGCTGACAGATGCTGTAAATACCTGAAGCTCCTGTAAGCTTGGGTAAACTTTACAGCTGAATTCAGCTGCCTGAGCAGTTTTAAGAACTCTGCTACCGGCTCTGTTATTTCACTGGGAGATGAGCTGAGCCCCATTGGAAAGGATAAGTTAAATCAATTCGTTCACTGATAAAACGACGCCCTCCCAAAGCCTTAAGCAAGTCCAGTTCAGTAGGAACTGGACTTCTGAAAGCAAATATCACTTTCAGCTCCCTCAGTGAGTTCCTAAAGAAAACACCAACTCTTCCAGTCATCCTCCACGGCTCCACAACTCAGTAGGAACAGCAATACCTCTCTGACTGCTGTTCACACACCAAGCAAACCCCATCACCTGCACGAGGGATCAGCACAGAACAGATGCTACAACTGAAGAGTTGAGAAACACCCCTGAGTCTCTCAGGAATCCCTCGTGCCTGCCTACCTGCAGTCTGAATTACCACCAGAACGTGCGTGTGCTGTGGACTCCATGTTACACAAAGCTGATGTTAGAAGAGCATCACATTTCTTTGGTACCTACTTTCAGATCTTGCTCATCTAAGAGCTCCAGGAATCCGTCGTCATCTTCGCTTTCAGAGCAGGTCAGGGAAGGCTGCTGCAGGAAAGCTGGCCTGTAGTTTTCCAGTTCACCCGTGGGCATTTCTTGACTGGGAAACTGAGACAAAACGTTTAGTTTTAACAACATTCCTCTTCTTTACAGCAGGATGCTGCAGATGGAAACAGTGCCATCTCACCGTGGTGATTAAGATAGTGGCTAATCCAGCACCTCGAATGCACTGACCTGAGCAAACCCCAAACCAAGCCCGCATACTTTATTTGGTCCATCAGCCTGGTCAATCAATAGGGCCCCTATCTGGAAACACTGGATAGTGAAGGGATGAAGGAGAGGAACAGATGATGGCAGAGGAACAGGAATTAATATCAACTCTGTCAGGAGCACTGAGATGAAGCACTACCAGATTCAACAAGCACAGACAGGACTCGGCCCCAGGCTCTGTTTCTGTGCAAGGATCCAACAGCAGCTACTCTGCACTGCTATCCACTCACTGGATGCTCTGTGCCACAGCCACAGCTCAGCATTGCCCAGTGTCTCAGCCAAACAAAACAGATTTTCACATCTGACAGACATAAGCTTCCCTTTTGGGCACACGAATAGTGATGATATTAACAGCACTGTCCCAGAACACAGCCACAACACGGTTTTTCCTCCTGCCAGCAGGTAGCAGAGGATAGAATGACTACCAAGATCACTGAGGTCTTACCTCCTCAGCCAGGGCTGAGTTCTGCCTTTGGCCAAGAACACTCTTCCCATCATGGATGTGTGCAGAACTCCGAGAAGCTGGCTTGGCTGGCTTCTTAAACTCAAATGACTCCTGAATTGAAGAGAGAAAAGCGATCAGTTTACCAAAATAATGAGCTGTGCACACTGCCAGGACCTTTGTACCTCCTTTCTCCCCATTTAAGCTACCTGACGTTTTGAATTCAAGCTCCCCGCTGCCAAACAGCAACAGTCTGAGTGCGTTGTAACATCTTTGCTTTGAAAACATTCAGTGATTCACCTAACACAACCAAGTTCTCACCCCACTACCTGCAGGCTCAAGGCATTTTGGTTTTCTTCTGTTCTCTGCTAAAGAAGCCACGGTAAGGCAGCTACAGCTGCAGCCTGCTGAGCAGAACTTGGCCTGCTGCTGGGTGATGGCGCTGGGCCTGTCAGCAGCCTGCACACAGCACTGCCAGCAGCAAGGCCTCCCACAGCACAAAGATCACGGCCCAGCCGTGCTGCTGAGGAACCAGAGCTCCCCACATTGGGGCTGAAAGAAGGTATGGAGATCTGGGCAGCCTCCTGGAGGCACCATTACCCAGACAGCGTTATGGAAGCTTTTTGCCTTGCCGCAGACCAAGAGGAGCCAGGTGCTACAGCAAGGAGGAAGAAGCTGTACAATTAAAGCCTCCCTCCTTGCTATTAACCTATTATCAGCTTGCAGTCACCGCAATCAGCGCCTTCCACTTTGCTGCAGCTTTCTCTAAGCTGAGCTGCACAAAGCTTTGTGATGCCCTGCAGCCTGGCAGCAGCTCCCAAACCTCTCCCACCCCACGAGGAGTGCAGATTCCTCAGCGCCGCCTCTCACAGCACACCACCTCCAGAGACATGCAGTACTCACATTCTCCTTATTCTCATTCTGTTCTAGGAGCTGAAAAGCATTACAATCCGTGGAATCCGAATGGCTTCTCTTCAGAGCAGGACTGGAGCCCAGGAGTCTTTGCTGGACAGTGCAGACAGAAGTGCTAGTTAAGCACCACGCAGTGCAGCCTGTGCACAAGTACATCTTAAGCACAGGAGGGGCATTAGTGACACTGTGAGCTCTTCTTTTGCAAGTGAGTGCAGGCTGTGTGCAGGGGTTTCAGCTGCATTACAAACAAAGCTACACAGGAGAAATCTTGCAGCCAACACACAAACTAGATTTCAAGTTCATTAAGCCCCAGCTTTCAGTTTTCAATCAATACCATAACAGCTGCTCTAGAAGAGCGTAAATGAGCAAGATGTGGGAGGTTCCCAACTACAAACAGTCAGCACAGCAAACCCTTTAACACTCCTGCAGGGTCAGCACCTCCTCACTCACCGGCAGTGAATGTATTCTTCTGAGAGGCAGTCGAAGGCTGCAATGAGAAGAACACATTTACTTCCAACATTTCCTTTTGTAAGACAGTAATGAGAGCAACGCTCCCTTTTTGCAGGACTATAAGGCTGGAGGCAAACCCACAGCAGTGACTAGAAGTCAGACAGGAGAATACTTACTTCAGCCTGCTAGATGCAAGAATTGCCTTCTCAAATCTGAAAGAGAAATGCCCCACAGTTAACAACAAAGGACAGCATGCTCAAAAATCAACCTTGTTTTAAGCCACAGAGCAAACAGGAGCCAAATGCTTCCTGATAACGCTGTCCATCTCAAAAGGTATTTATGGCCAGCTTATCCCACTCTGGTTCTCAAAGCTCTTGCTGGAATCCCACTCTCCCCCCTTTCCTCAAAGGACTTCCAGCATTGATTAGACACGAAGCCGGTGCCAAGAGAAAAGCTGGGGAAATCGAGGACCAAAGGCATCTGCCCCCCACCCCCGGGATGGAAGATTAGGAAACGTGTTCATTTAAAGCTGATCAAGAGACAAATTGCATGCTAAAAGCAACTGCACGGAATCAGGACACAGCCAGGCAGAAGCTCCCAGTTAAGGACCCAGAGCAAACTGCAGCTTCCACTGCAGGCTGCCTCAGCTCACTGAGCTGCGAGCTCTGGGGCAGACAGCACAGCAAGGCAGCCTGCACTTGCAGAGCTGGGAGCACAGCCTTCCAGGAGGTAAAATAAGAGCAAAGGAGAAGCCACGTCAAGCCTCTCATCAGCCCACATTTGTTAACAGCGCAACGTGAAGCTGCTGAGCTCAGGCTGAGCAGCTGCTTACATACGTTTCCTCTCTGATGTCGCTGGGGGTCGGAGTGCCAGGAGAGTCCAAGGCACAACCTGCAGAACAGACAGCAATTCATGGTGAGCCCCGGCTCGGCCCACAGGAACACAAAGTGCTGGGCATGGCCGTAAGGCTCCTCCAAAGGTGCTGAGTTCAGACTGAAACTGGCACGGAAAGCTGTCCTCTGCACCCAGCAGCACACCGAAATAAAGGCAAGCACTCCATGCACAGCACAAGCACAACATCACCACCACACAGCAGCTTCTAATCACTGCCAGATACAGCCTCTGTGATCTGAGCCCACAGCCACACAGAACTGACCTGAGTAACACAACGGGCACCCAGCTCAGCACCTTAATCCTAAACATTCTGTAACACTTGTGATTTGCTAAGGAGATGGGAAGAGGAGAAGAGAGCCAAGCAGCAGAAATGCAGCCAGTTCAGTTCCTTATCTCCATGCAGCCTGCCAGCTGCACTTGCTTTTTAGTGCTTCCTTTGAAGGCTGAAGTACTGCATAGAGACTCTGGTGCAGAAACTCAGGTGGAAGCACTGATTTCCATCACTGAGAGAGACAGTGACACATCAAAAGCTCTCCCCACTCCACAAGTCACAGGGTAATACCTTATTTCATTTCCACTGATAAAAGTCACCTCATCTGAAGAAGAAAAATAAAGAGAACTTCTCAATAAGCATCTGTACTACAACAGCTCCCCAGCCTGTGAGACTCACATCAGCGCACACAAGCAGAAAGCCACAGACAAAACCCAAGCCACAAGAGAAACCCTGCTTGGCAGCCTCCACGAGAGCATGCACAGCAGGGTAGCACAGCTTGCCTTTAAAGAGAGAAACCACAGCCCAACACCTCAGAGTTATCACCCTCCAAAGGGGGACTCAACCTGGTCCCATAGTGAGCTGAAGGCAGATACGTGCTGCGTCCCAACAGCAAGCAGCAGAATGCAACCTCAGCTTCCAGAGCACAGCCAGGAGCACTCACAGGGCAGCACCAGCTCACTGGGGCAGCCTGCCTCAGCCACCTTGAGCAGCACTCATTCTCAGCCAGCTCTTCTGCAAGGGCTGACCCACTCCCAACAAGGTGCAGGCCTACTGCTGTCATAGCGCAGAGCAGCAAGGTACCAGCACACAGCACTGACACAGTGGAGTTTGTCTCTCTGGAGCACAGAGCAAAAAACAGGTCAGCAGCCACATCTAACAGTGATCCTAAAAGGATTCATCATCATCCCATCAGCAGAGGGGTGGCAGCAGGGACAGGGAGGTGATTGTCCCTCTCTGCTCTGCTCCTGTGAGGTCCCATCTGCAGTGCTGTGTCCAGGTCTGGAGCCCCCAGGACAAGAAGGACAGGGAGCTGTTGGAGAGGGGCCAGAGGAGCCACAAAGATGCTCAGAGGCTGCAGCACCTCCCTACAAAGACAGGCTGAGGGAGCTGGGCTTGTTCAGCATGGAGAAGAGAAGCTGCGGGGTGACCTCAGTGCAGCCTGCAGTGCCTGAAGGGAGCCTGCAGCCAGGAGGGGAGTCAGCTGTGTGCAAGGGGAGATGGCAGCAGGACGAGGGAAATGGTTTGGAGCTGAGGGAGGGCAGCTGGAGGTTGGATGTGAGGGGAAGTTGTGTGCTGTGAGAGCGGGGAGGGGCTGGAACAGCTGCCCAGAGAGGCTGTGATGCCCCGTCCATCCCTGGAGGTGTTGGAGGCCGGGTTGGATGGGGCCCTGGGCAGCCTGGGCTGCTGTGCAATGGGGAGGTTGGTGGCCCTGCATTGGTGGGGGGTTGGAGCTTCGTGATCCTTGAGCTCCCTTCCAACCCAACCATTCTGTAATAAGAAGCAAAAAGAAATGCTCTCTCTGCCAGGCCCCCTTTGGAGCCAGAACCAGTTTTTCCTCCATGCAAACCTCACTGCAAACACAGTCTAGGACAATTAGAAGAGAAAACATCCCAAAATATGGGCTGCAGGAGGCCTGCTGAGCAACAGAAACAAGCCTGCCTTCCTCCACAAGCGTGAGGGTGAGAAATGGCTGCAGGGACCAAAGGCAGCACTATTTCTATATTCAAAACTGTAAGAAGAGTGAGAATGCAGTGCTTCCCATTCCTTCCTCATGATTCACTGAGAACACCATACCTGAGTCTGTTGATTCTGAGGACACTGTTCTTTGCAAACCATTGGCACTCTTGTTTCCCAGGTCTTGTGCAGTATTTTCATGCTGACTGTAAAAGAAGGATTTTTAAATGCTTTTTAAGTGAGAAATACAAAACAGGAGCACAAGAGAGCAGGCATACAGCACAGGACTGAGGGCCCTTTCAGTCACCTTGCACCACACCACCAAGCCTTCTGCACAACACAAAAACCAGGAGGTTTTGTGGGGTTTTTTCTCCTCTGACCATTTCAGAGCCTCTCATGCTCTTGTGTCTTCACAAACAAAGGATTTAATAGAACAAAATAACAGCTTGCAATAGAAGTTCAGGACTAAAACCACTTTGTGGAGTGTGATATTGGTGCCTGGGGGCACAGCAGCACCTCCCAAACTGTGCTCTGGGAACACCCCTATCAGCAGCCCATTATCTCTCCCAGGACTGTAACCTCCTCCCCAGCACTGATTTCATGATTGTTCCGCATATAGAAAACGAGCTTTGAGTTGAGAACTGGGGGGTTTGGCCTGTTTTGGTTTTGGGGATTTGTTTTTGGTGGGTTTTTTTTGAAGCAGAGAAGTTGCTAAAGTTCAAACTTGAGCCCAAGCCCTTCCCTGCCCACCAACATCAATGGGTGCAGCCCCCCCACTTCCTGGGTGCAGGAGCACTGTGGGCACGTACTGCTCACACACATGGGCAGCCCTGGTGCAGAAAATACAGGCATCACACAGGGCATTCCTCTGCATCACCTTTAAATGGGGGAAAAAGCTACCGAGTGGGGCTGCTCTTATCGTACTGATCAACTCAAAAGATGAAGCAGGGCACAAGGTGGAGGTGCAAAGCCACAGGGCAGAACACCCAACATGGAAGGGCCCGGTGGGAGTCCTCAGCAGGAATCCCTGGAATCTGAAGGTGGGAAGGATCACAGGGCTGAATACAGAAATAAGAACCATCTAAAAGCAAGCAGCAAAGGAGAAATACCGGCAGGGCACTCAGGACTGAGCAGGAGGTCAGAGTGAGAAGGGAGCCACAGGAGAAGCAAACTGCAGAGCAGGAAAAGCGCCCACATAGTGGGATGAGATGAGACGGCCAGAGCAGAGCGAGGGAAGATGGTGGCACGTGGGGATGTGGGAATGGGCCGGCACCGAGTGTGGGCAGGAGAGCAGGGCGGGAGGGGAGGCGAGAGGCGCTGTGAGCAGCAGGGGGAAGAAGAGACACGGTAGGGCTGGGAGGAGCGGGGTCTCGACTTGGGGGCGGCAAGGAAAGAACTGCCCCGTGTTCCGTTTGGGGTGGGGGATCACCAGGCCTCGGTTTGGGGGCTGCTGAGATCCTGGAGGCCTCGGTTTGGATGGGGAAAAAGAAGATGGGGAAAGGCTCATCGAAGGCTCCGTAAGGGGGTACGGAGCAGGGAGAGCCCTGGGCCGCGGAATTAGGGACCGAAGAAATCCTCGAGGGCTTAGGTTGGAGCGGGGAGAAACGGGGCCTCGAGGCGCCGTTGGGGAGGAAGTCGAGGGGGCTGGAATACGGCGTCGTGAACGCGGTACTCGAGGGCCAGGGAGGAAGGGCTCCTTTCTGTCCGTGCGTCGGAGGGGAGCGAAGCGTGAAGAGCCCCAGGCCGGGGCTGCGAGGGAAGCCCTGCCGGCCTCACCGCTGTAAGCGGGCGGAGAGGGACCTGCAGGCTTCGCTCCGGGGCCGAGGGGAGAAACGGAGAACCCGGAGGCGCCGGTTAAGGGGCGAGGGGGTAAAAGAGGGCCTCGGTGGGCTCTGACTGACCCGTGTCCCAGCTGCTCCATAGTGAGGCGGAGATCTGACACCGGCGAGAGCTCGGCGGGAAAGAGAGACTTGACCGCGGCGGCGGGGGAAGCCGAAGAGACGTGCGGGAGGCGGCGGCGGGAGGCGGCCGGTGCGGGATTCATGGGGCCGAGCAGCGCAGAGCGCGACCGTCCTGCTGTCAGCGCCGCCCGCGCCGCTTTGACCCCGGCCGCTACCCGTCGCTGGCGCCAAACCGCCTTTCCACCAATCAGAAGCCTCCTCGGAGCAGCGCGGGGAGAGGGAGGGCTTTTCTCTTCAGCTCTCCCCGCCTCTGATCAATCGGAGAGGAGGGAGGAGCCGACTCCCTATTGATTGGCAGGCGATCTGTCCAATAGGGAGAGGTTATCCCACTGACCTGGCTGTGGAACTGCATTTCCCGGCGTGCAGCCGCCGAGAACGCGTTGCCCGCCTCGCCGGCGCATGCTGGGAAATGTAGTCCTCTGCCTCAGAGACGCGTCTCGCCCCATCCCTACTCGGCCCGAAAGGATATTAAAAAAAAGGGAAGATGAGGAAGAACTCGCACAATATAAAGCAAAAACCGGGCCTTGGCGAGCCAACGAGCTCTCACCGTGTCACCTCTGGTCAAAAGAGATCTTTGTGAAAGCAATCGGCAAGCACTGCCCGCAGGAAGATGGCGGCGGAGCAGAAAGATGCAGAGCCACGGAGACGCGTGCGACAAACAGCACAAACGGCCCCTCGGCAGCGCGTGACACCGAGCCGTGCCGTGCCGTGCACACACCAGCAGAGGGACCTGGGCAGCGCACAGCGGGCACAGACCCTGGGGGGCTGTAAGAAGGAAGGGGGCAGGCTCTGCAGCAGGGCTGTGGGATGGCACAAAGGGAAATGGCTGCAAACCAAAAGGGGGGATTCATGTGGATGTGAGGAGGGAGTTCACACGCTCGGGGTGCTGAGCGCTGCACAGAGGCGCGGTGCTCATCCCTGCAGGCGCCACAGACGGGATGGGCTGGGAGCACTGGTGGAGCTGCGGGCATCCCTGTGTGCTGCAGGGATTTGGACCGGGTGGCCTTTAGAGATCCTTTCCAACTCAAACCATGCTGGGATTCTACAATTCTATGATTTTAATGCTCTGAAGGACTCAGCAGGAGGAAGTGCAGCAACGACCAGGGTAGAGGTGCAGTGAGTTTGCATGGATGCTGTGCCATCCCCATACTCATCAACCCAGGACGTGGGCAGGGGAGCAGGGGTGACCGACTCCATCAGGAGCACAGCTTGATGTAGGTTCCTGGCAGCCAGAGCCAGAAGTAAGGGAAGACCTTCTCGCTGAAGGAGACTTTGAACTGCAGGATCTGTCGCATGTTGTCAGTGTTGTAGAAGGTTACTTGCCCAGCCTCATAGTCCAGATGGACCCTGATGCGCCGTGGTTCTTCCTCCAGGCTCAGCGGGGTGGGCGGCATGGTCAGCATTGTGTAGCTGCTGTCCCAGTCCATCCGCAGGGCCCAGATCTTCTCCATAGCCACCTTGAGTGGCTCCTTCCTCTGCACAGACTCCAGGGCCACCCCCACAGCCCAGTTGTTCCCATCCCCAACCTCCAGCTCCCAGTAGTGCCTCCCAGCCGTGAAGCCCTCAGATCCCAGCACGCTGGCAGTGCCCGTAAACCTCTTGGGAGTGTCAGGGAGGTCCTGCTGTCCTTCTGCTATCTGCAGGGTTCTGCAGTCACTTGAGATGGTCAGGTACGGGCTTGCTGTCTCGAGGTCCAGCAACACCTTCACTAATGCACAACAGAGAAGAATCAGCCTGCTGCCTGCTGAGAAACCAGCCAGCACCTTTCCTTCCTCTTCCATTGGGCTGGGACAGGTCCTACGAGTACAGCATCCAACCATGACCCACCACAAATGCAGCACCCACAGCTTCCTCAGGGGGCACAGACATGGAGCACGGCGCACCTGCTGTTCTCCCCATCAGTCCCACAAGAGGAACAGAGCCAGGTCTAAGCATGACAGAGCTGCTCTGCTTCCCAGAGTAAGGCTGCAAGGCAGTGCAAGGCTGCAAGGCAAGTCTGGTTGCTGTGATGGGGAGCTCTGCTGCTCCTAGCCCTGCTCTGGGGAGCACCCAGGCCACCTCCCTGCAGAGCTGCGTGACCACATGGAACGTCACCCTGGGCCTCAGAGGTGTCACCACTCAGTGTCACCACCTCAGGCCCTCCACTGAGCCCTGGAGCCTCGTATCCCAAACCCCAGTGCAGGGGAAACTGAGACTCATCATCTGCAATGCTGAGGGCAGGGAGCAGCCGGCCTGCAAATGGCTTCAACCAGAACACAACAGCCCCAAACCCCACCATGCTGCTGGGATTGCTCACAAGGCTTTTCCAATCTGAGCCTAAAAGTTGGCCCAGGGTGTGCATAGGCCCATAAGTCTTCCAGATCATGGCACAAGAATGAAAAGATCTCTCAAGCCAGCGCAGCCCAGCTGTCACTTGGTGTGGTGGCACCTCAGGGTGGTTTCTGGCACAGGGCTGACCTGCATTTGTACAGCAGGCAAAAGCAAGAGGCCCGGCTTTAGGTGGCCATTGCATTTAGATGTTGTGCCTTGAACCCACCACCGCCCTAAGGAGGCAAGGAAACATTTCAGGAATGTTTTTCTCTCATTTGTCCCACCAGCTTAAGCAAACTTACCTCTTTCTGTGTCCAACTTGCTCAGCAGGTTCACTGCAGGAAGGAAAGGGAGATGCATGAGGGCTCTGGGAAGTGTGGGTCAGAAGCAGAGCCCACCCCCAGCTCCTGCAGCCCCGAACTCCGGTGGTGCCCATCTGGGAGCTGCCTCAGCCTGGAGCCCACTGGGACCATGGCTGCAAATCCAGCATCGCTCGCTGACTTTTTACCTCTGAAGTCACCCAGCACGGCCTGGACCTGCTCGCTCATCTTGCACAGGTTGCTGACTGACCTCTGCAGCTCTGGGGAGACCGGCTCTGGGACAGGGAGCTTCGCTTCCATGCACCTGAGGGAGACAGCCTGCAGGGAGCCCACATCCAGAGCCAGAGGGAAATGGGCACAACAGAGGGGACAGATGTCACCCAACTCCCCAGGGCCTGGCTGGGGTCACAGTGCGTCCCAGGCACCGACACATCACACTTAGGTCCTAACTACTTAGTGGGGCAAAACCACCTCCTCCTGCGTGCTGCTGCTCAGCATCCAGCAGGTTTCCAAGCACCTGCCCAGTGCTCTGCACAGTTCTTACCTGTCCAGAATGCCAGCAATATCCTGGGAGAGAGAAAGCATCAGTCAGGGCTTACAGCACTGCAGAGCAGCGCAGCCCCCAGGCGCTGAGTTCCAGCACGTAGCACAGTGATGGGGAGCAGCTTGACGCCGGGATTTGTCACCCAAATCCCTCAGCTCAACCACAGCCTCACCGTCAGGAACTCAACTGCCAGCTGGTCACGTTTCTTCTGGATCTCCACAACCAGCTCCTCCAGCAGCCTCCTCCTCTCTGAAACACGGCAGACGTACTCTTGGTGCTGCTCGGTCAGCCTCTCGTGTGCCTCATCGAGCTGGGCCAGCAGAGTGCCCTCCTGCTCCTTCAGAAACTGCTGCAGCTGCTCAAAGGCGGCACGAAGCTTCTGCTGCTCTGAGGCCACCTTCCCCTGTGAGACACCCGGCCCTGAGCACCCCGTCTGCTGCGGGGAGGGGAAGGGGATCACAGCGAGGAGACAGAGGCTGGGAGGGAAAAGGGTGGATGTACAGAAGGTTATACGGGATGGACAGATGGCAGGACATAGGAGATGGGTATATGGAAAAATATACAGGATGGATGAGCGGAAGGAGGAGCAGGATGGATGGGACAGGCATATGGAAGGGGATATGGGATGGACATAAGGAAGGAAATATGGGATGGACACCTGGAAGGAGATATGGGATGGATATATGGATGGAGACATGGGACTGACATATAGAAGGATGGACAGAGTGGGAGAGAGGAAACAGCAGTGCTGTTGTGGAGAAGGAGGTAAGTATGAATGGGGAGAAGGGCTGCACCCCCAAAGAGGTGGGTGAGCGGGCAGGGAGCGCAGGGCAGAGATGGGCACACACCATCAGCACGTTACTTCTGGTTTCTCCTTCGGGATTAAACTCTTCCTTCTCTTTCTCTAGAAATGCCAGATTGCTCTGGAGTGTTTCCTGGAGAAAAAAAAAAGGAAAAAGCAAATCCTTTCAGCACTTGGAACATTACGTTTGCAAGACGGTGACACCCAACAGCCCTATGGAGACAACACGGCTGTGCAGCGTGGGGTGAGTGCGGTGTATTTGTGAGCTCACCCCAAGGGGAAATGCTGAGCTCAGTGCCAGCCTCCAGCTCACCCCAAGCACACCGTGCATGGCTGCAAAGCACCTGGCACACAGCTGCTTTGGCCAGAGCTGCGTCTGGAACGGCGTCATGTGGAAACCCTGATGTTTGTGGGTATTTTTAATTAGGAAAAAACAACTTTTGGTGTTGGAAGCAGGATTTGTGGGAAGAGGTTTGGAGCAACAGCAGAGCTGTGTCTCAGATGTGCTCCTAAATTCTCTGGAGTGACATAGAAGTGCCTTACTGACATATGGGGCGCTGGGGAGCTCAGGGGCTGCAGAGGGGTGAGAGGGGCTGGGGGAGGTGAGGAGGCAGAGGGAAGAGGCAGGAGAACTGTTAGCCCCAGCAGAGCAGCAGAGCCATGGAGTACAGCCCAGGGCCAGCTGGGAGCCAGCATGCAGCTGGGGATGGGCCTCCATCCTTGCCCCAGGGGGAACCTCCAGCTGTGTGGAGACGGACCCCACATCTGTGCCTTGAACAGATTCAGACACATGTCCAAAAAGAGCCCCAAGACAAAGCCCAGCAGGAGCCCAGAGCTGTGCCTAGGTAGGATCCATATCTGTGACTGAAATGGACCCAAAATCTGTGCCCAGAGGGGACCCCAGCTCCACACCTGGAAGAGATCTCAACTTGTGCCCAGAGGGAACATGCTTGTGACCAGTGGGGACTGCAGCCAGCGCTCAGCAGATCCTGACCTGTGCCCACTGGATACACAGATCTGTGTGTAGACGGGACCCATAGTTGTGCCTGAAAGGGACACCACTTCCGTGTGCCTCGAGGGGACCCCAACCTGTGCTCCTGTGCCTAGGGGGGATCCCAGCTCCATGCCTGGCAGACACCCCAACCCACACACAGAAGGGACCTCAGCTTCTACATGGAGAGAACCTTGACCCATGCCCAAGAAGGACCCTGACCCGTGCCCAGAGGGGACTCAAATTTGTGCCTACATAGGATCCCAGACCTCTGCCTGGATGGGGCTGCAGATCAGTTCTTAGAGGGGACCTCATTATATTCCCCTGTGCCAGATGGGCCTCTCAGCTCCATGCCTGGCAGAGACCCCAACCTGTGCTGAGAAGGGATCCAGATCTGTACCTGAATTGGGCCCCATTATCTGTGCCCAGTGGGACAAGAACCTGTGCCCAGACAGGACCCAGATCTGTATGTAGAGGGGACCCTAACCTGTGCCTGGGATCCAAGCCTGTGCTTCGATGGGGCCCATATTTATGCCTGAAAGAGACCCCAAATCTGTGCCTAGAGGGGACCCTGAGCCATGTCCCTGTACCCAGAAGGGACCCCAGCTCCACGTCTGGAAGACACCCCAACCAGTCCCTAGCGGGGACCCCCGGCCTGCGCCCCCATGCCCAGAGAGGGCCCAGATCCACATTTTTGCCTGAAAGGAACCCCAGATCTGTGCCTTGAGGGCACCCCAACCTGTGCCTGGGGGGGGGGGGGCCCAGCTCCGCGCTCAGCACAGACCCTCACCCACACCCACAAGGGTTCCCAGCCTGTGCCTCTAACGCTAGAGGCACCCCGGCTCCGCGCCCAGGGGGGACCCCGACCCGCGCACCTACAGCTGGAGCTGCCGCGGCTCCACGGGGTGGAACCCCATACCGGGTTACCCCCCCCCCGACCCCCCTTCCCGTCCCCCTACCCTCATTATCGTCGCGGCCTCCTCCGCCGGCCGGGCTCGATGCCGGCAGCGCGGAGCCTCCCGGGGGCACCGCGGGCACAGCGCCCGAAAGCAGCTGTGGCAGAAGAGCTCCAAAACCTCGTCGTGCTCGGGGCATCGCGGCCGCTTCGCTTCTTCCCCCGCCGCCTCCTCCACGGCGGCCGCCAGCTCGGCCACGGCGCCCAGCGGGAAGTTGGGCCGCAGCGAACCGGGCTCCACGGCGGCGCGGCACTGCGGGCAGGCGGCGGGGCGCGGCGGGGAGCCCAGCAGGAGCCGAGCGCAGGCCGAGCACAGGCTGTGGCCGCAGGCGGTGAGCACGGGCTGGGAGAAGAGCTCCAGGCACAGCGGGCACGTGGCCTCGGCCTGCAGCTGCTCGCCCAGCGCCCGCAGCGCCCGCGCCATGGCGGGGCCGGCGGCAGGACGGGGGGGCGGTGCGGAACCGCCGCGGGGCGGGGAAGCGGGGACTGTGCTGGGGGGGGGGGGGGGAGGGGGAAGATGTGGGGAGGTGGGAGGAGAAGGGGGGGGTCCGGCTCGTGCAGCTGCCGTCAAATCCTGCAGGGCTGCGACGGGACGGAGCCGGGCTGAGCTCCGGGCTGAGCTCCGTGCTGCTGGAGCGTCCGTGTGCTCACATAGCGCTGAGTGCGTGCTGTGCAAGGCGTGTGTGCGTGTGTGCAGGTGTGTGTGTGCATTGTGTGTGTTTGCGTGTGCATGTGTGTACATATGTGCGTTCGTGTGTGTGCATGTGTCTGTGTGTGTGTGCTTCCGTGTGTATGTGAACATCTGTGTGTGTGTGTGTGTGTGTGTGCACATCTGTGTCCATGTACATGTGTGTGTGTACATGTGTGTGTGCCTCCACATGTGTGCATCTGTATGTCCTCATGTGGGCACAGGGATGTCCGTGTGTCTGTATGTCCGTCCATGTTGGCATGGGGATGGATGTCAGCGCATGTGTGTATGTGTGTGTGTGTGCAAATGCAAGTCTGCCTCTGACTACATGTGCACCCATGTACATGAATGTGGCTGTGGGGCTGGGGATGTCTGTATGTCCATTTTGGCGTGGGGATGGATTTCAGTGCACATCTGTGTGTGCACATGTGTGTGCATATCTGCGTGCCTTTGTGTTGGCACAGACATGCATGTGCATTTGTGTTGCACTGAGTGCTTTGTGTTGTGCATCTGCACATGGATCCCTGTGTGCATCAGTGTACTGCATGCATGTGTGCGTGTGTGCATAGCTGTGTGCCTTTTCATCAGCACACACAGGTTCAAATTGCTTATGTGCATGAGTGCATGTGAATGTTTGTATGTATGCAAATGTGCAACATGTGTGTGCATTGACATACATGTGTTTCCCTGAGTCTGTGCACATGCTGCGTGCAGCCAGGAGGTGAGCTCAGCCATTCTCATGGCTCCCTTCCAGCTCAGGACATTCTGTGTCCTGTTTGCACATGACCGTGTGTGCATGTGTGCACTGCTGAGCCCGTGATGTCAGCACACGCATGTGTGTGCCCACACGTGGTTGTGTGTGTGCACCACTGCCTCTCCGTGGAGCTGTGCGTGTTTCTGTGGGGGTAAAACCAGCACTCCTGACTGCTGCAATGGGGGCAGTGGGGCTGAGCCGGGTCTGAGCAGCGAGGGGTTGCCGCTGTGCAGCGCTGGGCCAAGCAGAGCACAGCTTAGCCAGAGCCCAGCATGGGCCAGGCTGCACAAAAACCAGCAGAACCCATCAGCGTGTAGGGAGAAATGGGGATGCTGCCCCATCGGTGGCAGCCAGGGCTTCAGTAGGACACAGGCTGGAAATGACCGGGCAGGCAGCTGACTCCAAATTCTTTTTTCCCCTCTGAAGTCACAGCGGAGACCACTGGGAGCTGGGATCCATGCTAATAAACCCTGGTGGCTTCATCCTGTGCTCGCTCTGTTCACTGATGCCAACACGAGATGCGACCCTACAGCAGCCAGGAGCCCCGCACCGCCACAAACACGGGGACTGGAGGAGGGGCAAAGGGCCCCGCCAGGGCTGCCCACACACAGGGGAGTCCCTGCACAGTGCGCCCTGGGCCCGAGGCTCTGGAACCAGGAACGGAGCCGCATCCCGTGCTGCCACGCAGCTCCCATAGCAGCAGGACTGGGTCAGTGCCTGCTGGAACCGTGCTGGAAGGACGGATGGCCGGCGACGAGTGCTGGGAGCAGCCAGGCCCTGCCACAACCACGTCCTTCAGCTGCAACTCCTATTTTATTCTACGGCATCATCCATGAGCGCAGTGCAGCCCCCAGAGCTGGGCAGGCACCTCTCAGTGCTTCTCATCAGACAGAGACCCTCCTCGTCCCACCAGGGATGGGCAGAGCCCCTGGCAGAGCTCTGTGCCACAGCTGCCAACAGAGCATGGGAAGAACAGATGTAGATCATTGGTTTTCTTATCATAGAATAATAGAATCATAGAATGGTGTGGGTTGCAAAGGAGCACGATGCTCACCCAGCTCCAACCCCGGCTGTGTGCAGGTCACCAACCAGCAGCCCAGGCTGCCCAGAGCCACATCCAGCCTGGCCTTGAATGCCTGCAGGGATGGGGCATCCACAGCCTCCTTGGGCAGCCTGTGCCAGTGCCTCACCGCGCTCTGGGGGAAAAATATCCAATTAAAAGTTCCTCCACATTTATTAAAAAACCAAACAGTAGATTTAAAAAGCAGTTAAGAGTCCTACTCCAGCAAAACACCCTGTACAGCTTTCTCTCCTTTGTTGTTGTTTTTTTTTTTCTCTAACGGTGAGGATTCTCCCTAAATCAGCTGCTTCTGTTAATTTTATATATATATAATCTTTGAATTCTGCCGCGCGGCGCTTGCTTTAACTCATTAATTTATTTCCCATCAGCCGAGCCGCCTCCAGCAGAGCAGCGGCGCTACCACAAAGCTTCCGAGTGCTGTCCATGCCCTGAGCCGGGGTGGGGGGAGGGAGAGACGGCGGAGGAGGGGCGGAGGGGCCGCGGCAGCCCTCACTCTCCCACGTGCGTCCTCAGGTGGTACTTGAGGGACTGCTTGTAGCGGAAGCACTTGGTGCACTCGGTGCAGGGGTACGGCCGCTCGCCGGTGTGCGCCCGCTGGTGCTCCAGGAGGTGGTGCTTCTGGGTGAAGTTCTTGCCGCACTCGGTGCAGTGGTACGGCCGCTCTCCCGTGTGGATGCGCTGGTGCTCCAGGAGGTGGTGCTTGCGGATGAAGCCCTTCCCGCAGACGGCGCAGGCGTGCGGGCGCTCGCGGGTGTGGATGCGGTAGTGGTTGGTGAGCTTGGACTTCTCGCTGAAGGTCTTCTCGCACTGGCTGCACTGGAAGGGCCGCTCGCCGGTGTGAGTCCGCTGGTGCCGCAGCAGGTGGGAGGGCCGCGTGAAGTTCTTCCCGCACTGCGGGCACAGGAAGGCCATCTCGTTCTTGCCGGCGTGGATCCGCTGGTGCATGATGAGGCTGATCTGCAGGCGGAAGCTGCGCCGGCACTCCCCGCAGGTGAAGGGCCGCTCCCCGACGTGGGTGATCTGATGTTTGCTGAGGCTGGACTTGTGGCTGAAGCTGCTCTCGCACTCGGAGCACTTGTAGGGCTTCCCCGGGGCCGGCGGCCGCGCCGGGGCTTTGAGGCCGTGCTCGGGACGTCGCGGGACCCCGACGCCGCGGCGCGTGTGGCTGCGCTGGTGCAGCAGGAACTGCTGCTTGTTGCGGAAGCTGAGGTCGCACTCGTGGCACTCGTAGGGGCCCTCCTTGAGGTGGTTGCGTTGGTGGATCACGAAGTTGATCTTCAGCATGAAGCTCTTCCCGCACTCGGGGCAGATGTAGGGCCGCTCCCTGGTGCGGTTGCGCTGCTGCTGGGCCGTGGCCGGCTTCATCTCGCCCGCATCCCTCTCGCAGGACGGCGTTTTGTGTGCGCGGGCGGCCGCCAGGCTGCGGGGAGCCGCCTTGGAGCTGCACTGCGCCTCGCAGCCCAGCCCGGCCTCGTGGCTGGGGAACGCCGGAGCATCGCTGCGGCCCGAGAACATGGAGCACGGCTCGTCCACGTCGTCCTCCTCCTCCTCCTCCGTCTTGATCACGATGCCATCCTCTGCCAGGAGAAAGCAGAACAGCGTTACGGCCCTGCAGGTGGGACACGGCTGGGGTTCAGAGCACTGGGAGCTGCCAAAGGGACTCTGCAGCCCCCATCTGCCCTGCAACATGAGCAGCTCCTGCTGGCAGCAAGGCGGCAAGCAAAGGAGAACAGAGAAGCTGCCCCTCAGCCTCTGGCTCTGAGCGCTCGGCCCGGCACCATCCCCTCCTTCAGCTTCCCAGGGCCACCGTCCTTCCCAAAGGATGGGATGTGCAGGATGGCCGACGGCAGGGGGCCCCCACTGGTGTCACTGACACCGCTTTTGGTTTTCCCTAAAGCTTAGTTTGTTGGGTGACACATGGTGTGCCCTACATTGTCACCCTCAGTGGACCCTGAGTTCCAGGAGAGGCTCCACAGGAAGGACAGACAGGTTTCTCAATAGAAGTGGCCAGCACCAGGCTGTCTCAGAGGCACAGCACTCCCCCCCGACACATGCAGATGGAGAACAAGCATTCCCAAGGAGCCGCTCCCCCAGTGGCAGCACTTAGGTTGGGTATTAGGAGGAAGTTTTTGAGCCAGAGGGTGGTGAGGCACTGGCACAGGTTGCCCAAGGAGGCTGTGGATGCCCCATCCCTGCAGGCATTCAAGGCCAGGCTGGATGTGGCTCTGGGCAGCCTGGGCTGCTGGTTGGCGACCTGCACACAGCAGGGGTTGGAACTGGATGAGCGCTGTGCTCCTTTGCAACCCAGGCTGTTCTATGAGTCTGTGATCCTCCAGGGCTGCTGTTCTCCTCCCTGCTGCCCACCTGCTGCTGGCCCTGAGCACAGAGCTTGGGGCTGAGATACAGAGCTCAGGAGGGCCTCAGCTCTGCTGCTCTCAGCAGCTCTCTCCATCTTAACAACACCAAAAGGCAGAGGGTCCACCTTCTCCACACCCCCAGTGCCCCCCAGCATGGTGGCAGCAGCTGCCCACTGTGCCCATCCCACACCCAGCTGAGCAGGGGAGGACTTTGTCCAGACCTCCACTTCTCTCCACCCCCAACCTCACTGCGCCCACCCTCCCCACAGCGCACACACTGCAGTCTGGCTGCCCTCATTCCTGTCCTCCACACTGCCCCATGCACCCACGTGTGCAGGGACACAAACCCACACTGCAAGTTTTGCCCCTCAGTGGGGCTCACACCCCAGGAGACCCCCTGAGTGCCTTTCCATCAGACTCTGGTCCCTTTCCATCTCTTTTTGCTCACTCACTGCATGTGTATAAATGACTCTCTTAAACCCCATTCTCATTCCTTCAGCTCCATTGCCTTCCCCCACCCCAAGCCCTTGGCTTTGCTCCCTTTCCAGCCCCGTGGGTAAAGGCTGCTCACAAAGGCAGCCCCAGGGCTGCGCTGGGGACGCTGCATCCCCACCACGGTGCAGCTCAGCAGCCCCCAGGCCACACTCACTGGGTGCGTGTCTCCTCCCACACCCCTGCACCCCTCACCTGTGCAGCTCCCGTGGTGCACGATGACCCTCTGGATCTCGCTGTAGTCCCCGACGTACTCAGAAGGGTCGCCCAGGCTGGTGCCCGGCAGCTCTCGGGGAGGGGACACGGAGCCATAGGGGCTCTCGCAGGCAGCCTCCTCATCTGGGCTCTGGAAGCTGCCCTCCGATTGCCCTGACATGCCGTGCAGCTCTGGGTTCTCGGGGCTGTCCTCTGGAAGCAGCTCCTCTGTTTTGATCACGACTCTGATTCCAGCTGCAGCAAGGAGAGATGCACACCAGCAGTCATCCCCAGGGATCCCAGCAGCCCCTGGTTGCTTCCCACAGGGCCGTCCCCGCTGCTGTGCCCACCTGGGTGCACGGGGTGCCCCTGCCCCTCGCTCAGTCCCACCGTGAACGCTGCACGCAGAGCTCCTGAATCACCCCACTGGCTCTGAGCACTCTTTGTCCTCTGCCCAGCACCCTCAGCCAGCACAAACCCCAGGCTGGGGCATTTTCTCATTTAACATCAAGTTTTTCCAGACCAAGATTGCGGGCAGAAGGTGAGAGTGACACAGCCCAACACCTCCCAGGCCCACCACCTCCCGGATGTCCCCCTCCCTGCAGGTCTGTCCTGCAATGGGCAGAGCAGGTTGTGGAAGGCTGTGGATCCCTCAGATGGCTGCAGCGGGAGCTGAGCTGCCTCTCCTTTCTCCCCACACGGCCCGAGGACGTGCTCTGAATGCAACGCTCCCCACACTGACGGCTCCCCGACTCCGGGCTCTGCCTGCCCTGCTTCATGTGCTGAGCCATACCTGGATGTCAAATCCCCCAGCAGCCAAACCTTTCCTCCTCCTGATCAACCCTGCCACAGCTCCCAGCAACAAAGCCCTGAGCGCGGCCCCGTCCTGCCTGTGGTGGGGTGGATGGGCTCCAGCCCCCCACGGCCGCCTCACCTGCGGTGGCATCGCTCATCATCTCGCTCTCCTCCAAGTCCTGCTCATTCCTGACCCGTGGTTCCTCTCCCTGCTCGATCTGGGACAAAACACCGGGTTTGGAAATTGCATAGTCTGTTGAGAGACAGAGGAATGGAGGGGGGTTACTAGAGAGGGACGCAGAAATGCCCCATTTCCCAGCTCTCCTCAAACCCAAAATGTTTTATCTCTGGCCCCAGAGCGGGTGCTTCTTACAGCTCCAACACACAAAGCCCCAGACGATCACAGCTAACACTGCGTTGGCCTATTTGCTTTTCCCCCGGGCCAGCACCAGCAGCAGACCCAGAGGACGGGGGGAAGCCCCTGCAACAACTGCAGGGTGGGCAACAGCTCAGGGGGAGCCCAGGAGAGCTCTGTGGGACAGTGCCAGAACAAAGCGGGCATTTCGGAAGAGGTGACTCTACACAGCAGCAACAGAGCAGGACTGGAAACCTCCTCCCGTGTTTTTAAGTCTGCTTTTAAAATGGGACGTCTGGCTCCTTCTGGTAGGAGTGGGAGGATGCCCAGAACCTCCAGCACAGGTTGGGAAGCAGCGCCTGGATTTACCCAGCGAGATCAGCGACTCGTAGTTCCCCTTCATCACATTCTTGTACAGCTCCTTCTGCCACTCCTCCAGCTTCTCCCATTCCTTGTCGTTGAAATAGACGGACACGTCGTCAAACGTCACCGGCACCTGCAACCACAAACACCTGCTCAGACAAACGAGGTAAAACCAGGCACTGCAGCCAGACCTCATCCCCTCTGACGAGCTGACGTAAGGCCAGATTCAATTACCCCAAAACTCCGGGGAAAGCTCTGCCCCGGCCCCGAGGAATCATCCGTTATTGTCTGCAAATCGCCCAGCAGCGGACGGCAGTTTCTAAGGCTGTTTGCTGAGCTATAATTTCTGCAGATAAATTCAGGATGCGGTCGGAGCAGAGCTCTGGGAGAGGAGCACCATGCTGGCCCTGCCTCCCGATCGCCGCACACTCAGGTCGGGGTGCAAACACTCCATTTTCCAGTCCCAAAGGCAAACTTTCCCTTCGCGCAAAGAGGAGATGAATGAATATTCATGGCGGGCGCCTTTTGTTGTTCTGGAGCCCAGGCTGTGTGGGCAGGCACTGCCCTCCCGCAGGTCTCCATCGTGTGCTCCTTCCCTGGGTACCAGCATCACCAGCTGGGGATCCAGAACCAAACAGCGCCCAACACAGCTGGAAATCCAGCACCATCCAGCACCAAACAGAGCTGGGGATCCAGCAGCACACGGTGTGAGAGCTGGGGATCCAGCACCATATGGTGCCAAACAGAGCTGCAGATCCAGCACCAAACAGTGGCAATGAGAGCGCTGCCAAATCTCCACGGTTCCTTGGTTCGGACTCCAAGTGTGCTGAGGAGTGAATGGCTGCAGCGCAGCCGTGTGAGCTGGAGACGAAACCTCCTCCCTCAATTCCATCTTAGTTCTAAGGATCTCCCATCAGAGGGTACCAAGAAGTTCAGGCAGTGCCTGCGCCCCCCCCGCTCCCAATGGGGAGCAGCTCTGCTCACAGCTGTCCTCCCCATCTCTGCCCCACCTCAAGGAGGACTCAGGGCGCAGCAGCTCCCTGCCCTCCCCACAGCCCGGGCCCCGTTACCTTGGGGACTTCTCCCTTCCTGCCGGGGGGCAGCCGCAGGATCCAGAAGTTCCTGTTCTTCAGCAGGTTCTCCATGTTCTCCAGGCGCCGCTGCAGCAGCCCGTACTCCTGGATGAGGGTGCCCAGGGCCGCACATTTGCTCTCCAGCTGGTTCCCCAGCTCCGTCGCCGTCTTCTCGCAATCGATCAGCTTCTTCTCGGCCACCCCGGTGCGGCCCTCCAGGTCCAGCAGTCGGGTGGCATGGGAGTCCACCTTCCTCTCCACCGCCTGCACGGCCGTCACCACGGTCAGGGACAGCTCTGCCGTCTGTGTCTCGCGCTCGGAGGTGCGCTCGGGGCCGGCGCGCGGCTGGAAGGGTGAGGGGCAGCGCGGCCGCATCCCCAGCTCCGGAACCTGCAGGGAGGGGGTGTGGGTGTCAGCAGGATGCTAGGGACATACCTGGACGTACCCCACAGGTTGGGAACTGAGAGAGACTGAGGAACCCCTGGGCTGGAGGGCACCCAAAGGTTGGGGACCCTCAGGGTGGGTCTCAATAGGATGGGAACACCGAGGGTTGGGGAATCCCATGGGGTGAGGGCAGCCATCGGCCGGGAGCCCCAAAAGGCTGGGGATCCCCTGGGCTGGAGACCGCCAGAGGTTGGGGGCACTCAAAGGATGGAGATACCGGCAGGTTGGGGACCTCCACGGCCCGGGGCCGAACACCCTTACTGCAGAAGGGCCGTCCCCACACATTGCTCGCGTCGAGCTGCCCGCAGTCCCGCGGGACGGGCTGGGGGACGGAGGTGACGGTGGGGCGAAGAGGAGAGGAAAGGGACGGCCGAGCCCCGTCGCCATGGGGACAAAGAGGTGACACCCGGGGATGAAGGCCGGGGGGGGGTCTGCCGCTGTCAGCCGGCCGTGTCGCCATGGGGACGGGGAGGTGACACGGGGGGCAGACGGCCGAGAGACCACGGGGAGGAGGGGGGAAGGGCGGGCAGCAACGGGGAGCGGTGACAGCGGGGGGGGCCCCGACGGCCCCACCGCCCCCCCCACCACCCAAGCGGGGCCCGACCGCCGGTACCGGGCCGCGGGGGCTGGCGGGCGGCCCCGAGGGGCAGCCCCGCTCCGGGAAGGGCGCTCCGTCCCCGCCGCGGCCCTCCCGGCGCCGCCCCCGACGGCAGCGCCGACGCCGAGGCCCGGCCCGGCCCGGCCCGGCCGCCTCCCTCCGCCGCGGCCTCGACGGCGCGGCCCGCCCCGACGTGCGGCCCTGGGGCTGCGGGGCCGGGCCTCCCCCCGGGCGGGCGCTTACCTGAGCGGGAGCCCCCTCGGCCATGGCCCTTTGTTCCCTGCCCGGTGCCCCGGGGGGGCCGCGGCCGGGAGGATCCGGCGCCCGTTCGCTGCTTCACCTCCGCCCGCCGCCGCCGCCGGGCATCGGGCAGCGCCCGGGGAGGTGCGGAGCGGCGCGGCGGGGCGGGGAGGGGGCGGCGGGGCTGCGGCGGGGCGGGGGCGCGGCCCGGCCGGACCTCGGGGCGGCCGAGCTGGTGCGGGGCGGGAGGGGGGGGGGGGAGAGACCGAGCGGCTCCGGGTCCCGGCTCCGCCGCTCCGCGCTCCGCGCTCCGGCCCCGCCGCTGCCCCGCCGCGCCGGCAGGGGGCGGGCGGGCCGCCGTCCGCCGCCGCGCGGGCCGCGCCGGGGGCCGCAGCCGGGCGGGGCGGAGCGGAGCTGGGGGCGCCCTCCGCCGCAACAGCGCCCCCTGCCGGACCGACGGCATCACCGCGCCCCGTCGGGGCGGCCCCGCAGAGCGCCCCCCCGCCCCCACCCCGCGGCGTCGCGGCCCGGTGCGAAATGGCGGCCGGAGGGCGGCGTTGCCATGGAGACCGGCCCCCCCCCACCCCCCATCTCGCTCAGCCCCCGGCATTTCCCCCTTCGCTTCTGCCCCGCGCCGCCGTCGGGGCTCCGTGAGAGATGCGGAGGTGGGGATTCGGCTCTGCCAGCGGGAGCGGCGAGCGGCCCCGGCCCTGCTTTGTCCCGTCCCATCCGCCCGCTGCGATCTCTCTCTCCGTCCCATCGCATCCCACCCATCCTGTCCCGTTGTGCTCTCGTCCACCCCACCCCATCCATCTTATTCCCATCCCATCGTGTCCCGTTCAGTTTCGCCCCTATGCCCCATTAATTCCGTCCTGCCCCATTAATTTCACCCCGCCCATCCATGTCCTGTCCCTTTCTGTCCCATCCTCTTCCATCCTGTCCTGTCCCACGCTGTCACATTATCTGATCCCATCCCCTCCCATCGTGTCCCATCCTGTATCATCCACCCTACCCCATCAATCCTTTTCTGCCCTGTCCCATTCCATCCTGTCCTCTTCCCATCCCATCCACCCTGTTTTGTCCCAGCCTGTCCTCCCCGTCCCATCCCATTTCTTTCCATCCTGTCCTATCTGCCTTCTTACATCTCATCCCATCTCCTCCCATCCCATCTATACTCTGATCTCTCACACTATCTTGTCCCATCCCATCCATCCTATTATGCTCTGATCCCACCCCATCTGTCCTGTCCCACCTTGTCTCATCTCATCTCTTTCCCTCCAGTCCTATTCTATCGTGTCCCATCCTATCCATTCCACACATCCCATTCATTCCGTCCCATCTGTCTCATCCCATCCCATCCAATCCATTATTTCTGATCTCACATCCTGTCTTGTCCCATCCCATCTTATCACATCCCATCCCATCTCATCCACCCTTCCCCATCAATTCTACCTTACCCCATCCATCCCAGACCATCACATTCTATCCCATCCCCTTTCATCCCATCCCCTTCCATCCCATCCTTTTCTGCCCCATGTTTTCATGTTCTCTCACCCCATCCCACCTGTCACATCCCGTGACATCCATCCCATCCATTTCATTATATCCCATCCATTCTGTCCCACCTCATCCATCCTCTCTGACCTCCCTGTCTTGTCCCACCCCACTCATCCTGCTTTAATGCTCTCATCCTCCCCATCCCATCCATCTTATTCCCATCCCACCACGTCCCATCCTATTTCATCTACTTTGCCCCAATTCTATCCTGCCCCATTCCACCCTGCACCATCCTGTCCTGTCCCATGCTGTCACATTCTCTCACCCCATTCCATCCCACCCCAACCCATCTGTTCCATCCCATCACATCCATCCTGCTCTGTCCCAGCCCATCCCATCCTATCCCTCCTCATCTCATCCCGTCCCGTTCCCTCCTGTCCTATCCTATCCTTACATCCCACCCCACAATCTTCCATCCTTTCTGTCCCACCTGTCTCACCCTATACTATTCTATTCCATCCCATCTTGTCTCATCCTATCCAGCTCACCATATCCCATCTCAGCCATTCCATCCCACATGTCCCATCCTGTCCCATCCCATTCCATCCATACTGTGATCTCTCACACTGCCTTGTCCCATCGCATCCACCCTGCTCTCTCGTGCCTTCATCCCATCCATCTTACTCCCACCCCATCCTATCCCATCTGTCTCCTGTTATCCCATCCCATCCACAATCTGATCTCTCACCATTTTGTCCGATCCTGTCCATACTGTGATCTCTCCCACTCTCGTCCCATCCCATCCATCCTGTCTCATCATGCTCTTGTCCCCTCCCCTCCATCTTACTCCCATCCCATCTACTCTACCCCATCAATTCCCCCCTGCCCCATCCCATCCTGGCACGGCTGCGTGCTCTCAGCCCCATCCAGGCCCCCACTGTGGCACAAAGCCTTGTTCCTGCTCCTGACTTTGGAGACCCCTGGCATGGGCTGACAGTGAGGGGCTGTCATGACACCAGGCGTGAGGATGGGCGCCATCCAGTCGGATTATGGAAAAAGGGAGGGGATGAGGGGGACGGGATGAAGCAGCATCCCTTGCTGTGATGCTGAAATGGGGCACCTGGCCTTTGGGGCACGATGGCAACAGGGACCCAGACTGGGATCCCCAGCAGAGATGTCTTTGTATTTATTTATCGTCTATATGTTTGGTTTAATCTTTTTGTGCCACTAGCAAACCCTCATCAGCCACAGAGGGCTGAGGACAAGGCCACCACTGCTGTCCCACGTCCCACTGCCAACCAGGAAGGATGGGGGCAACGTTGCTCAACCCTGGGCCGGCGGGATGGGATGGCTGCCAGAGGCAGCAGGAGCTGGGCAGCCGCCCAGGAGCTGCTCCCGGGTGGGACAAGGAGGAAACGGAGCTTCCGCTGCAGCCACTGCCAACACACAGCCTGCAAGCACGGCCCTGGGACCGCCAGCCCACAGCACTGCATCACGGGGAGAGGTGACCACCGTGCCAAGGGGACACACGGCAGTGGGGCGGCCCAGTAGGGCGACACAGGGCACACAGTGAGGGCAGTGCCGGAGCTCCAGCAGTGTTGATGCACCTCTGGCTGTGGCAGCAGCGTTCAAGGTGCAGCCTTGGCTTCGCTTGTGCGGCTCAGTGGATGCAGGTAACCAGCAGGCAGGTGCAGGGCTGCGCACAGCCAGCACTGAGAGAGGGGCAAACAGGGCTGCAATCACTCACCCGACACAGGGCTTCAGAATGGAAACACTGTATTGACAGACTTTACAAAAGTTATTACAAAACACAACCACAAATCAGCAGCCAACGATACACAGCGGAAGAGACACTGCTCACAGTCACCTTGAGAACAACACCACTGAGTGCCAAAGTCAACCGATATTTACAGGGACGTCAGGAAAACTCCGGTCAGTCACCGCATACATTGAAGTGTTTTAGATCCATGGTGAAATATAGTGCCACACATTTCATTGTATAATAATAATAATAATAATAATTAATAATAATAATAATAATAATAATAACAACAATAACAACAACATCCTACTTCTACATTAACTGAAAACCGAACAGCTCTTTACAGGGGTTAGGAGAAGTTCCTTTCACTTGTCCAACTTACCTGAGTGTGAGACCAAACCCAGTAATAAAGCAACAGTAAAACCACCTTCTCCAAGGGAGTTCCTATGACAGACCAGCAGCGCTGCTCCCCCACGCCAGAGGGAAACGACAGCAACGTCCTTCCAAAGCACACAGACATCTCCTCTTCGGATCAGAGACCCGGCTGCTCTGCGCACCCACGCCTCCTCTCCCAACTCCTCCTGCTCCAATGTCCTCAGCCCTTTCTCCTTCCCGTCCTTTCCTCCTCCGCCTTCTTTTTCTCACCTTGCACTTCGCTGCTCTCTCCTCTCTGCTTTTCCGCCTTCGACAAGTTCTGCCCCACGTCCCTAACCACGGCCCTGCTTCGCCTCTGTCCCCTTGTGGCAGCCCAGCCTGGTGGCACGGGGCTGCTGCTCGAGGTGCGTCACTGCAGCCGGAGCGGGCGGCCGGCGGCCCGGGAATGGCGTCTTGCCTTCCTCCGTCGTCCAGCCTTGTGGTGAAACGAGCAGAAAAAGAATGAAAGCGAAAGCTTGTCACTCCTGAATATGCACAAAGATAGGTGGGGAAACACCTGCTAAATACAGATCCCCGGAGAATCTCTCAGGAGCATTCTCTACAGGCAATATCCAAACCTGCGTAGGGGACAAGTAATACGAGGCCGCCAAGGAAGTCCCACGTAACCCCGCGGGGCCGAAGAGGTGCCCAGGCCTTCGTATCAGAGTTTTTTTTTTTAGAGGAATTCCTAAGATGCTTCAACAAAGCGGGCTTGGTAGCAAGACCACATGGATTAGCTGCGATACAAGTTCACCTCTCGCCATGCTGCGCGTCCACCGGCTTCGACCGTTCCGTCACTGCGAGCCCTTCCGCCCCGGCCGCCCGTCGCTACTGCTTGGTTTCCGTCTTCAAACAGAAGAGGCTGGTTTGAGTGGCCGACTCCAGGTTGTGCTGCAGGGCCTCCTCCATGGGCCGGGGGTTGCGGGAGTGGATTTTCTGGTGGCAATTCAGCGACTCCTTGTAGCGGAAGTGCTTCCCGCACACGGGGCATTGGTACGGGGTCTCCCCGGTGTGCACGCGCCAGTGCTTGAGCAGGTGGTCCCTGCGGATGAAGCTCTTCCCGCACTCGGTGCACTGGTACGGCCGCTCCCCCGTGTGGATGCGCTGGTGGCGGATGGCTTTGGAGAGGTCCCGGAAGTCCTTCCCGCAGTAGGTGCAGGTCAGCGGCCCGTCGCCCTTCCCCGTATGGAGCTTCTGGTGCAGGATGAGGCTCACCTCCAGGCTGAAGCTCTCTTTGCACTGCGAGCAGGTGTAGGGCCTTTCCACCATGTTGTTCGGCCTGACGAAGCCGTACTTGAAACCGGAGCCCTTCTCTGAATTGGCGCGCTTGGACGGTCTGGAGCGTTGGCCCTTGGCGGAGGATTTGGATTTCTGCCTGAAGCTCTCCCCGGCTTCCAGGGAAGTGCAGGCCTCCTCGTCCACGTGCGCTCTCTGATGGGCTGCAAAGAGCTCCTTGTCCAGGAAGCTCTGCCCGCACTCGCAGCAGATGTACGGCCCCTCCTCTGCGGCCATTTCCTCGGGAGCTTCCTTCTTTGACAGTTCCCTCCCGCGGCGCGAGGAGCGCCTCAGCCCGTTGCCCGCTGCGCCTCTCTGCTGCGCACCCGACCCGCTCCGATTCTTGCTGCTCGGCTTTAACTCTTCCTCCGGGTTGGAGAAAACATCATCCCACTTTCCCGCTAACGAGGCAGGAAGCTCGAGGCTGTCGGGGCTTTCCTCGTCGCACTGCTGCGCATCTGACAGAGCAGAGACACTCGTGTCATTTCTCTGAGATAAGAACAGCCTCATCATTTAGACTGCAGTTCTTTTGGGGCAGAGGGGATCTCTGCTTTGCACACCTGGCAGGACAGGGCTGCAAGTCCCAACTGGGAGCTAAGCAGTACTGCAATACAAACACAGCCAAAGTATTTTGACTTCTTGGGGAAGCTCAGACAGCGTGAAGGTGAGACCTCTCTGTACAGCCAGACAGAGGGAAGGAGTGGGTTTCTCAGTTGGAGATGAACCAGACCACGTCAGCATGTGGCACAGAATAAAGACAAAAAGACAGAGGGAAGGGGAATAAAACCTCTTTCCTTTTGGGGCTTGTACAGTGTTTAGACCCGGGGCCGATTGATCTCCCCAGGTAACTCGGAGCTCCTGCCAATGGCCCCAGCGAGCAGGATGAAAAGAGACAGAGGATCTGGGGCTATAGGAAAGGGGTCTGAAAAAACCACGGGGTTTTGCAGTGCACAAAGATAAAGGCGTGCCCACGTTTGCGTGCACAGAGCAGAGCGAGCGCTCGGCATTCCCCATCATGGCACTCTCCATTTGCTCGTCGCTTTGCCAAACACCTCAACGTGCAGCTTGCAAACAGGCTGACTGGTTTGTACCAGGCTGAAATTTAAGAAAAGCATCAGCTGCAGCAGCTCAGCTGCTTGTGAGAACAAGGCCAGGAAACCAAAGCCACGTCCCAGCAGGGTGCGCTTCCCCACGCGGCTTCTGTGCTCCCATGCTTCAAAGCAGGGATGTGGAGGGACAGGCAGTGACAAGGACATGCCTTGTGATGCACCACAAAAAAGCCTCACATTTGACTGACAGATAAAAGCTGTGAAAAATATCACTTTACCCATTAGTGGAAAAGACTTGTAAGAACATTGCTGCTAAAGCCATTCAAGCTTGCCCGCACGCTCCAGGCCCTCTCCACTTCCTAGCTGGCCAAACATGCTACCTCACTGAGCGAGCCAATGCTGTGCAGGTGCCCTGCACCCCCAGCCAGCCCACAGCTGCTTTTACAGCCTGCTGCTCGTGTACAGGAGCTCCTTCTGCATGTGCCATCCATCTGCCACGGCTGTCATCCAGCTCCCGTGCTGAGCCTGAGGCAAGCCTGGCACAGACCGCAATGACAGCAGGGCCTCCTGCAGGGACAGCCCCAGCCAGAGCCAGGAGCCTGAGAGCATCTCTAGCCGCCCCTCTGCCACTCTGTGCAGCACTCAGTGAAGCTCTGCACTTCTGACTCACATGTATTGGGAGCCTCCATGCTCTCTTCTTCTTCCTCTTCTTCTTCTTCTTCAGAACCGTAGTGACTTTCAGCCAGGGTATCTTCGTATTTACTCCACGAGTTGTCATCGGGACCGGGGAAGAAAAACTCTGTGCACAGGAGGGAGAACAACCTGAGTTTATGTTCACACTTTCCAGGTGCTTTATAGAGGGTTTCAGGACAGATGACAGCAGCAGCGAGGAGCTGGCTAGGAGAGCAAAGCCACTCCTGAGCTCACGGACAGTGCTGGCAACACTCATCAGCAGAAGCAGGAGGAAGAGCTCAAGCAGACAGTAGGAGCCGCATCTGCTTTCCATCACCCCACTGCAACCCAGGAACTTCATGTCTCACCGGTGCTGGGATCCGTAGGGGTTTCTCCTCCCTCAGAGTCATCCTGGTCCTCAGCATTGGGATCCTCTCCTTGCTCAATCCGTGACAGGAGGTCAGGTTTCGAAATCGCCGTATCTGTATGTTAAAAAAAAGAAAAGGAAAGAAAAGAAGAAGAAGAAAAATAAAATCAGAACGTTTCCTTTGTCCTTTCAGGGCAGAGAACCTTAAACCTTCACCCACCGACCTTCCTTCACTGCTGGGGAGGACGGGTAATGGAAAGAGACTTGAGAAGATGCTCTCACATGCCTGCACCGCTCACCTTGTCTGGGCCCTGGGACAGTGAGCGGGCTGCAGGAGCACGCTCTGCTCGGGTGAGGAGCACCTCCCAGCCTGCAGCGCGAGGAGCAGAACAAGAAAATGCATCTGTGCTTACCTTCAGGCCTCCTCTCTTCTCCTCTGTGCTAAAGTCCGCGGATCCATTGCAATGGCAGCTTCAGCTTGGGGTCAGAACCAGAGCTGTCAGCCAGCGGCAGCAGCGGAGGTGCCCTCCCCACACGGTTCCCTCCAGCCCCGGATTGCCACAGCCAGAACCGTTCCTTCCTACTCGTCCGAGTCACAGGGCTGCTTGTGGATTTTGGTGGGGGAAATGGGAAAATTAAAATTTCCCCTAGCATGGAGAGCGGAAACTTAATTTTGAAACAATAAGCGTGAGCCTCTGGTATTAATTTCCACCACTGCTCTGCTGGATCCATAGCCTTAACGAGGACCTAGCCTTCAACCCAATGAATCAAAACAAAAGGGAACCTTCAGATTAAGCACAGATACATTTTTCTAAGCTCCAGGCTCAGACCCACGGATCTCTTCCAGTAGGGCTTTTACATTCCTGCACCTTCACAACAGGACTGTTGTTTTACAAGGGAGAATGGGGGCAGTTTTTATCCTTTGCCTTTTTCTCTTCTACACAGGGACTGTCCAAAAAATATTTATATTAAAAAAAATAAAACCAACATTGGAAAGACATGGATTGTACAGAACTGGAGGGCAGGATGGTTGTCTGCCAGGGATGTCTGCGCTCCCACAGGGGTGTCCAGCCAAGGCAGCACTTCTCAAAATACACACATGCCTGAAGCCCTCGTGAGGTGCAGCACAGACCCACAGTCGGGACTGGAAGGAGCCAGCAGGGCACATTTGTGCAGCGTGGAACAATCTGCCCCGAGCCATCAGAAGTGGAGCAGAAGGCTGAGACCTGCAGGAGCAGATGCTGCAACAGTGTGCACAAGAATTGTTCTCCAGCACCAGGCTGGGGGTGAGGCAGAGCACCAAGGCAGACAAACTGTGCTCTACTTCCCTAGCAAGCGTTCTGCTGATGGAAGGGCAGATCTACAGACAAGGCTGGGAAGAACTGCTGGCACTCATCCGAAGCAGCAGCGAGCCGAGGCGCCCAGCGCAGCACATCTGTGGACCTCTGCATCACCACGAAGCTCCCTTTTTGTCCAGAGCCTGTCAATCTCTCATTTCCCTCGATAACCCAGGTCCTCTCATGGCTCCAGCTGGATGGCCAGAGACCATCAGAAAGGCAGAGTCGCTGCACTGCTCAAGACATCCATCCACTGCACAACTAACACAGCGAGGAGTAAAGCACTGCCTGCTGGGCCGCTACTGAAAGTCAGCATGAGAGCTGGCCAGACTTCTCACCACCCACCCTCCCGGATCCACCAGGCACAGCCCGGCCCCGGAGGAGCAGTGATGCCAAAAGCACAGGGGGAGCCCCAGCCAGCCTTTACCCATCGAGATCACGGCCTCGTAGTTGCCCTTCATGATATGCCTGTAAAGCTCTTTCTGCCACTCGTTCAAGTTCTTCCACTCGTCCTCCGAGAAGCTAAATGAGGTGTCGTTAAACGCCATGGGGACCTGCAATTAGAAGCACCACATATTCAGCTGTTTTCATGGAAAAGCTCAGGTGAGAAAGGACTCTAAAGAGCATCAAATTCCACCCACCCTGCCGTGGGCTGGCTGTCCCACAGCTCGGGCTGCCCGGGGCCCAGCCATGGCCTTGGGCACCTCCAGGGGTGGGCACCACAGCTCTGGGCAGTGCCAGCACCTCATCGCCGCTGGGTAAAGAATCCCTGCCTACCATCCCACCTAAATCACCTCTCTTTTAGTTTAAAGCCGTTCCCCCCTTGTCCTGTAGCTATCTGCCCCTACAAGAAGTCTCTTTTCCTCCCATTTATAAGCTCCATTATGTACTAGAAAGGCCACAACAGGTCTCCCTGGAGCCTTTTTTCCCTCTAAGCTGAACACCCCCAGGCTCCTCAGCCCATCTTCACAGCAGAAGTGCTCCAACCTCTGAGCATCTTTGTGGCCTCCTCCAGATCCAAAGGTCTCTTGTTGAAAACAGGTAAGGATGTTTTCTCATTCTAACCCCCACACACCTGGCTCAGTTCTCAGCTCGGCTCTGTCAGCTCAGTGAAGGGATATGATGTTTTCCCCCACCACCTGCCTAAGCCTTGCCCCCCTATTCAATCTCCCCACGCTTCATACAACAGATTTTGCACATCATACACCATAATTCCTGCTCAATTTTGGACATAATTCTGCTGCAGCCTCCTCTGAACAAGAACTGGGAGTGCATGTGCAAATATGGGCAGGGATGTGGGGATGACCCACATCGTGTCCCTGTGCCTGACCCAAACAGCAACCAAGCACCAGCTGCACATGCACAGGGGTGTGCAGCCACACAGAAGGACCTGTGCTGGTGTTCCCAACCAGTAGATGAGCTGCGTGCTCATCATCCACAGTGGCTGGGGCCTGAAGCAACTGCCTTACAGGGAAAGGCTGAGATCCCTGGCGCTTTTCAGCCTGGAGAAAAGAAGGCTGAGAGGGGATCTCATCAGTGCATATAAGTGTTTAATGGGTAAGGGGAACGAGGCCAGGATTTTTTCAGCAGTGCTCAGCAACACAACAAGAGGCAATGGGCATAAATGGGAACACAGACACATATCTCTGCCTGATCGTGAGAAAGAGTTTCTATAGTTTGAGGGTGGCAGAGCTCTGGCATAGGATGCCCAGAAGGGTGGTGGAATCTCCTCTGGGGATACTCAAAACCCTCTGGACACTTCCCCATGCACCCTGCTCTGGGCACCTGCATTACAGGCGGGTTGGACTGGAGGAGCTGCAGAGGCCTCTTTCAACTCCTACAGGTTTGGGAATCTGCATTAGAGAATCGCAGAATCACAAGGTTGGAAACGACCTGCAAGATCATCCAGTCCAAGCGTCCTCCCATCACCACCGCTACCACCAGCACTAAACCAGATCTCGCAGCTCCTCATCCAGACACCTTTTGAACACTGCCAGGGATGGCAACTCCACCACCTCCCTGTGCAGCCATTCCAGTGCCTGATCACTCTTTGAGAGAAAAAGTTCTTCCTCGTGTCCAACCTAAACCTTCTCTGGTACAACTTGCGGCCGAAGCACAAGCTCTGTATCACAATACAGAATCACTGAGGTTGGAAAAGACCTCTGGGATCCCCAAGTCCAATTCCAGCTCTTCACTACACACTCACCAATCCGCATCCCTCAATGTCACAATGTCACATCCTCACAGTTCTTGAACACCCTCAAGGACGATGACACCCTCCCTCCTCTCTCCCCCCCCCACTCCCTGGACAGCTGTGCCAGAGCCCAACTGCTCTTCTGAGAAGAAATGGTTCCTAATACCCAACCTGATCCTTCCCTGGCACAAAATGACAGAATCACAGAACGGCCTGAGTTGCAAAGGAGCACGATGCTCATCCAGCTCCAACCCCTGCTGTGTGCAGGTCGCCAACCAGCAGCCCAGGCTGCCCAGAGCCACATCCAGCCTGGCCTTGAATGCCTGCAGGGATGGGGCATCCACAGCCTCCTTGGGCAACCTGTAACAGTGCCCACCACCCTCTGGCTGAAAAACCTCCTCCTCCTATCTAGCCACGAGCAGCCATGGTGCGATGCCATCACCTCTCATCCTATTGGGAGCAGAGGCTGACCCCACCTTGCCACCACCTCACAGAGGTGAGATGAGGTCTCTGACACAGCCCAGAGGTCTCTGACATGGCTCATGGCCCCGTTACCTTGGGGACCTCCCCCTTGGCCCCGGGGGGCAGGCGCAAGATCCAGAAGTTCCTGTTCTTCAGCAGGTTCTCCATGTTCTCCAGCCTCTTCTGCAGCTGCCCGTACTCCTGGATGAGGGTACCCAGGGCCGTCCATTTGCTCTCCAGCTGGTTGCCGAACTCCACAGCCGTCCTCTCGCAGCCGATCAGTTTGCTCTCGGCCATCCTCATCCTGCCCTCCAGGTTCATCAGCTGGGCCGCCTGCGCCTCCACCTTCCTGTCCACGGCCTGCACCTCTGTCACCAGCGTCACCGAGATCTCGGCGGCGGGCAGCTCGGCCTCCCCGCCCGGCCCTTCCTCGGGGGCGGCCAAGGGCTGTTCCAGGGACAGCTCCTGGGGTTCCATGGCCCACTCCAGGTCCTGGGGACGGACGGACACACGGCCGTGGGCAGACGGGTCGGGCCCGCAGGACGGCTCCGCGGGAAGCGGGGAGGGCGGAGGAGAGCGGGCGCGGAGCGGGGCGGGAAACGCTTACCTGAGCGGGGGCCCACTCGGCCATAGCCCTGCGAGAGAGGAGGAGCGGAGCGGAGGAGCGGAGCGGAGCGGAACGGGGCCGGGTGGAGCCGGGCGGGGCGGGGAGGGGCGGGGCGGCGGCGGCGGCGGTGCGGGCCCGGCGCCTCTCAGCAGCGGCGGAGCAGAGCGGCCATGGCGCGAGCGCGGTGCATGCTGGGAGAGGCGGGGTGGGGCCGCGGCGACACCTGGCGGCCGGGAGGAGTCGGTGCGTGATGGCGCCGTGCGACGGCGCGGCGGTGCGACAGAGGGAGGCTGTGACGGCGCGACAGTGCGACAGGGAGACAGCCTGAGCCGCTACGGCGCGACAGCCTGAGCGACAGCAGTGTGACGGCGTGACAGCCTGAGCCGCGACAGTGCGACAGTGCGTCAGTGTGACAGCCTGAGCCGCAACGGTGCGACAGTGTGACAGCGCGTCATTGCAATGGCCTGAGTTGCAACAATGCGGCACTGTGCCAGCGTGACAGCCTGAGCTGCAACAGTGTGACAATGCAATCCTGCAGCAGCCTGAGTCACGATGGTGTGACAGCATAACACTGCAACGCTGTGACAGCCCGAGCTGCAATAGTGCAACTGTGCGACAGAGCAACAGTGCAACAGCATGAGCTGCAGCAGTGCTACAGTGCAGCAATGCAGTCTGAGCTGCAACAGTGAGATGGTGCAACAGCACAACAGCACAACAGCACAATATTCTGCAATGCAACACTGCAGCACTGCAACAGTGCAGTAGCAAAGCAGCCTGTTCTGCAACAGTGCAACACTGCAACTCTGCAAGAGTGTAAGAGTCCCCGCTAAAACTGTGCAACAGCACAACAGCACAACTGCCTGTTCTTCAACAGTGCAAGTGTGCAGCAGCTTATGTTGCTACAGAGCAAGGCTGCAACTGTGCAACATCTGGTGCCGCAACCGTGCATCCAGCAGTGCAGCATGTAGCACTGCAACACACAGCATCACATCACTGTGCTCACTGCTGCAACGCTGCAATGCCACAACGCTCAGTGCATTCAGCACAGCAATGCTGAACCTGCTGCTCTTCGTTCTGCAGCCATGAATCCAGCACTGCAGCTCCGTGCCCAGTACTGCAGCACTGCTCTCACTCTGCCCAGTGCTGTGCTGTGCCCACTGCACTGCTCTGACATCATCTCATATGGCTCTGTTGTCATCACACATTGCTGGGATGTCTTCTCACAGCACTGCCTCCATGTCAGCCCGACACCATGGTGTCATTCCACACCACTGGGTCACACACGCTGTTCTGATGTCATCCTATGTGGCTGCGAAGCAAGCTTGCACCGCTCTGATGTCACTGCACACTGGTGATGTCGTCCAGCACTGCTACAGTGTGACTTCCCACCGCTGTGTTGTCACCTCACATCGCAGATGTCACTCGCAACCCTCTGTTGTCACCACGCCATGATGACGTCACATCTGACGTCACAGCACATCACTGACATCGCTCCGCGCGCGCTCTCCCGCCCGCCCGCTCCCCGGGTCTTTCCCCGCCTCTGATTGGCCGCCCCGCAGCCAATCCTCGCGCGGAACCCTACGGCGGCGGCCCAATGGGGTGGCAGGAGAGTAGCGGAGGTGGGCGGGGCTAAATGCGCGCTCCCGGCGCCGGCAGCCGGGGTCGCGCGGTGCGGTGCGGTGCGGTGCGGCCCCATGAAGGAGGAGCGCGAGCAGCTGGGCACCGTCGGTAAGGCCCGGGCCGACCGGGGATCGCCAACCCGAGCCCTCGGGATGAGGGCATTGTGCCAAACTGGAAAGGTTTGGCCTCAAAAACGCTCCCGTGTCTCTGCAGGGCGCTGGCTGCAGAAGGAAGGGCGGAGGGAGGAACCCAGCGCCGTGCCGGCGTGGGAGGGGCACTGCGGCGGCCGCGGGCCGGGCCCCGGTGCGGGTGATGCGGGGCTGAGCCTCACCGAGAGTGCCGGGACCCAGCCGGGGCCCGAGTGCTCCGAGTGCGGCCTCGGCGCCACGCGGAGGACCGGAGCGGGGCCGCGGGCCGCGGCTGGGCCGCGGCCCGGCACGGGGCTTCCGCCGGCGTGCAGCACGGCTGTGAGCTGCCCGGTCCCGTGCGGTGCCTGCGGCGGAGGCCCGGCCCCGGAGCCCTCGGCGCCCCGCAAGGAGCGCAAGGAGCTGTCGCTGACGGAGAAGGTGCGCGTGCTGGAGATGCTGGAAGGCCCCAAGGTGTCCCAGAGCGAGCTGGCCAAGCGCTTCGGAGTGTCACAGCCGCAGATCTGCCGCATCATTAAGAACAAGGAGAGGATCCTGAGCGAGTGGCAGCGCAACGGCAACCCTGAACGCAAGCGCAAGAGGGAGGGCAAGGAGGGAGCGGTGGAGGCTGCTCTGCTGCGGTGGGTGCAGGGCGCCCGTGCCGCCGAGCTGCCCATCAGCAGCGCGCTGCTGCAGCTGAAGGCCAAGCACCTGGCTGAGGCGCTGGGCACGCCGGGCTTCGAGCCCAGTGGCAGCTGGCTGGCACGCTTCAAGCTGCGCCACAACGTCACACTCGAGAAGCCGATGCTGGTGCAGGACGGTGGGGCCGAGCACCAGAGCTCGCTGCCCGAGCTGCTGTGCAGCTACGCGCCCTCGGAGGTGTACAGCTGTGGGGAGACTGAGGTCCAGCTGAGAGCCGACGGCGAGAGGCTGACGGTGCTGCTCTGCACCAACGCTGACGGCTCGGAGAAGGCGGCGCTGCGGGCGGTGGGGCGCGCGGCCCGTCCCCTGTGCCTGCGTGGCATCAACCTGCGGAGCATGCCGTGGAGTTACCGCGGGGGCGGCCGCCTGAGCGCCACGCTGTTTGCTGAGTGGCTGCAGGACTTCAATGAGGAGATGCAGCGCAAGGGAAAGAGCGTCCTGCTGCTTGTTGAGGAGCGCGAGGAGCACCCCTACCTCCAGCTGTCCAACGTCCAGATGGTCTTCATTCCCCCCGCGGCTGTGCTGGCACAGCCCCTGCACCGTGGCATCGCCAGGGACCTGAAGGGCCACTACCGGCGCCGGCTGCTGACCCAGATCCCAGCGGCACGTGGCTCGGAGCCGCCCACCCTGCTGGATGCCCTGCACATGCTGGCACAAGCGTGGGGTGACGTGCGCCCGGGCCTCATCACCAGCTGCTTCCGTGCCGCCAGCTTCAGCCCCAATAGCTGCCCTGATGCGCTGCTGGCACCCGTCTGGCTCGGCCAGGAGGAGCTGGAGAGCTTTGGGTTGATGGATGAGGGGCTGGAGCGCCTTGCGGATGCTGACACGGCAGAGGCAGAGGACTGGGACAGGGGTATGGAGGAGGGCGAGGACTCTGGGGAGCCAGTGGCAGTGCAGCCGTGCCCCTCAGAGCCTGAGGTGTGGGACAGCCTGGCCACGCTGCGGCGGTTCCTGGAGTGCCGAGCCACCTCGCCGGACCTCTTGCAGACGTTCTACACGCTGCAGGACGCTGTACACATGGTGTCAGCGGGGGCAGAGCCAGCACTGCTCGGGGACAGCCATCCCAAGCAGTGAGTGGGGTGGTGGCACCAGTGGGTGTCTCATCACGAGCAGAGCTTCTGCCAGCAGCAGCCATCGCCACTGTGGAGCTGCGCTGTGTATGATGGGAGTGGGAGGGGGGACGGGGGGTAATGTCACTGTGCTCGCTGGACCCAGCAAAGAAGCAGGGAGCTCCAGAGGTTGGCAACGGGCACATTAAAATTGAGCAAGTCAGCAAAGCGCAGAGCGCTGGTGATTGTTGTCATTTACTGTCGTTTAGCGCAGCAATTAACAGAGGCACTGCATGCCTCCAGGCCGGGGTTTTGCTGCTGACAGCAGTGGTGCAACCCTGATTGTCCCATCGTCCTGTCGTGGGTTGGGGACAGACCCAACCGGTGGAACCCATGAGTGCCCTGGGAGCCCCCAGCACAGCCCCCCGATGTGTGCAGGACCCCTCAGCCTAACACACCTCTGGGTACCTCTGGGGGTACCTTGTCCTCAGCACTGTCATCCTCTACGGCACTGTGTGTCCCCAGGTTGGGAAGGGACATGGGGGGGACATCCCCCAATTTGTGTGTATTGGGCTGGGGACAAGGCTGTCCCTACAGCTTGCAAAGGTGCCTCGTGCCCGCTCCTGCCAGAGCTTGGAGCCCCCTCCTCCACACAGGAGAATCTCTGCTGACACCCGGCGTCAGTCTGATGCTACAGAGCACCAGGGCAAAGCGGGAACGTGTTGGGTTGTTGCCCCCTCAAAAGCAATGAGGCACAGAGGACTGTGGGGGGGGTCATGGGGTGTTTTGGGCAGGGGGTGCTGGCTGGAACACAGCTGTGGTGGGACACGTGGGAGGTGCTCATGAGGTGCCCAGGGCGGGGGCACTTCGGGATGCGGCGAGAGGGGGGGTGGGCAACGGGCCTGGAGGAGGGGGGTCAGTGCACCCAAAGGGGCGCTGGGGGAAGCCAAGGGCAGCTCTGGTGGGGGGACAGGATGGACTTAGGGTGCACGGAGTGAGGGGGGGCACCCGTCGTGAGTCTGCCCGGGGGAGGGGCACCGCACGGGGGTGTAAGCGAGCGGTACGGAGGTGCGAGGAACGGCCCGGGGGTGCGCGGGGAGGAGAGCGGAGAGCGGGAGGAGCCGGGATCCAGGGAACCCGCAGCTCCCGCAGCTCCCGCAGCTCCCGCAGCTCCCGCAGCTCCCGCAGCTCCCGCAGCTCCCGCAGCTCCCGCAGCTCCCGCAGCTCCCGCAGCTCCCGCAGCTCCCGCAGCTCCCGCAGCTCCCGCAGCTCCCGCAGCTCCCGCCCAGCGCCGCCCCCGGGCCCCGCCCCCTCCCCGCGCAGCGCTACGCGGCGTCGTTCCGCGGCGCCGCCGGTAGGGGGCGCCCACAGGCCGAGGCGCGCAGCCCCGCGCCGCGCCGCGCCGCTCGGAGGCGGAGGAAATGAAGGCGAGTTCCGCCGAGGCGGGAGCCATTACCCGCCGCCAGCGGAGCTGAGCCCGCCGAGCCCGGCTCCGCCGCTCCCCCCGCCGCTCCCGGCCCGGCACAGGTAGGCGCCGCCGCCCCGCCCCGCGGCTGGGGGCAGTTCGGCCCCGGGCCGGGCCCGGCGCCCGCCCGGAGCGGGGGGTGGGGGCTCGAGGGCGCGCTCCGTTCCCGGCCCCTTTGTCCCCGGTGCCCGGCGGCGGGCGCGAACAAAAGGCGGCCGGAGAGGGGCAGGGCGCGGGGTGGCCCTTCGGGCGGCGGCCCCCCGGAGGGGCGCGAGGCCTCGGCCGGGCCCCGCGGCGCCGCGGCCCTGCGGCGCCGCGGCCCTGCGGCGCGGCTGCGAGCCTCCCGTCGCGGCCGAGGCCTCTGCCTGCCCCGCCGTGCCGCGAGGATGCTCCGTGCCCGAGGCCTCCGCTCGTCCCCCCCGCGGTCCGGAGCCGCTCCCCGGAGCCGCGCCGTGCCAGAGCCGCTCGCCGCGGTTTCCCGGTTTCTCCGTCGCCGCCGGGCGCCCGGGCCGGCCGTGCATTTCCCCGTGGCCGTGAGGCGCCGCTCGCCCTGCCCGAGCCCTGCGGCCCCGCGGCCCTTCCGCTCGCCGTCTTGCCCGAGGTCTTTGCCGTGGCCTCGAGGCGCTCGTCGCGGCGCAGGCTTTACCCCGGGCCGTCACCTCCGTGCCCCGAGGTGCCCGCTGTGTCCGAGGCCTTCGCTGCCGTCTTTGCCGCGGCCGTGAGCTGTTTGCCGTGGGTCAAGGGCTTCGCCGTGGCTCCCAGGCTCTCCTGTTGGAGCCGAGGGGTTCTCCGTGGCCCCGAGGTCCACACCTGGAGCCTGAGGTGCAGAACCCGGCGGTGTTCTGCTCGCTCTCTCCTTCCCAATGGGAGAGGACTGAAAAAACTGAGCTTTAAGGTTCTTGCCGTGGCTGAGATCCCTGCCAAGGTCTTCGCCGCAGCCTTGAGATGCTCAGCACAGCCAGAGCCTTTGCCGTGACCCAACGCCTGCACCACGGCCGAGGTCTTTGCTGTGGCCTTGAAGCCTTGATGCTTTGGCTGTGGCTGCGGCCATCACCAGGTCCTGGCTGCGGACCTGAGGTGCTGCACGTGGCCAAAGCTCTCACTGCGGCCCAGAAGCAGCCGCTGTGGTGCTGAAGTTGTCGCTGTGGCTCCTGCTGTGGCCCTGTGCTCTCACAAAGCTGTCTGCTGGGGCACTGAGTGTGCAACTAGAGCTGCTCCCCGTGGCCCTGAGCTGCTCTTCATTGCCCTCCGTGTGGCACTGATGCCTCCCTGTGGCCTCGAGGCTCTCCCCGTTGCCCTGTGCGTGGCCCCAAGGCGCTCACCGTGGCCCCGAGGTGCTCGCTGTGGGACCACAGCCCACCTCACTGTGACCGTGACCCCCTCTGTGCCCCCCGGTAGCTGGCTGGGGGCCCCGGATAGCTCTGGTTGGAGAGGGCCGGGTCTCCCTCGGTATCCCTGCCTGCCATAGGGGCCCTGTGGGGCGATGCTCTGCCACCACCCACCGCTGCCCTTTCCTTTTCTCCCCTCCCAGGTGCCGGGGCGAGGGGATGAGGTGCCCCCCTGCCGCGTGGTGTGCCGAAGCGGCTCTTTAGATCCTCCCCGGCCCAAGCCTCCCCTGCCATGGATGCCTCGGGGGCCGTTGCTTCGGCTCCCTCCTCCGCGGCTCCCTCGGGCTCCCGCAGCCCCATGTTTCCCCCAGGAGCTGACAGAGAGGAGTGGGGACCGAGGTTCAATTGTGCCCCTTCCACCTCTGCCGCAGCCTCGCAGGCGATGCCAGCATCTGGCCGGAAGAGGAAGGCCAACTTCTCCAATGACGAGACCGAGACGTTGGTCTGGAATGTGGTCCGGCATTTCAGCGCCCTGTATGGGTCAGAAGCCCTTCGGGCTCACCCCGTGCGGCGGAAGCAGCTCTGGACCCAAATCCAAAGCCGTGTCAACTTCCTGGGCTACACCGAGCGCTCCATCGACGACCTCAAGCACAAGTGGCGCGACCTGCGGTTGGACGTCAAGAAGAAGATCACCTCCAAGAAGCACCTGCCCATGAACCGCGCCGGAGGGCCGCTCCACAAGCCGCGCCTCACGCCCCTGGAGAAGATGGTGGCTTCCACCTTCTTGCAGGCCAGTCACGACTCGGAGCCCGAAATCATCCTGGATCCAGGTCAGTCGTGTGCTGGTTGTCCGGGGCCGGGAGAGCTGGGGCAGCAGAGTGCTGTGCTGCAGCCCTGCCTGCGCTCTCAAGTCATGTTGCCCTGGTAATGTCACTGGGCTGCGGTGCCCCAAGCTCTGGGGTCTGCCGAGCAGTTGGATGGTGGAAGGAGACTTGTGGGTTTTGCTCTCCTATGTGGTTTGTGTCGGGATTGCAGGGCTGCAGTCCCGTATCTGAATAGCAAAGCACTGGGGTTGGAAGCTGAGTAAGCTGGAATTAAAATCCACCGTGGGAATAACCTGGGATTGACATGAACGCGTCAAGCATTGTGGAGTGGGTATTTGTTAAGTCCAGTGTGCTGCCTGGCATCGCTGGATACTGTCCGAAGGCAGCCAATAGAAGACAGGATAGGATTTTATTTCCCCTGTTCCTTTCAGTGTTAGTGTTCACTAACACTGTTGACTTTTAGCTGAAGCCAGAGAGAGTGGGAGCAGCTGCTGCATTACTGTGGTGCTGTGTGAGGCTGGGGCTTCCTGGGCACGCTGCACCCTCTGCTATCTGCAGAATACACCTGAGTCGTGGTCTCATGTGGGTTCTGCTGTTGGGTGACACTTACTTCCCTCAGATAACCCAGGAGATGCTTGCAGGGACAATGCTGTGGTTAAGTAGCCAATGCTGTGGACTGGGCCACCAATGTGCTTGGTCACTGGCCAGGAGGCAAACATCCCCTCCGCCGTTTCATTTCCACCAAGGGGACATGTCTGTGTTCTTTGTACCCTCGAGGACACCAGCAGCTGTTCCTGCTCCTTCCTCTCCTCTTCATCAGGTTCCACAGGAGATGGGTGGGCAGCGTGGCTCTAGTTTCTTTTCTGAAGCAGGCTCGGGCTGTTTCAGAACCAGAACCCCTTCTTAGTGCGGTGCAGAAAAGTTTTGGGCTTGAGGAAGAGGACCGGGGGGTGCCGGCCCAGTCCTGTGGGCAGGCGATGGCAAGCAGCCACGCAGCTTGTCCCTTTAGGAGGCACTTTGGTGTTAGCAGGTCACCCTCTTGCCCTCGACGCCGTGCCATGTGAGCTGGCGGTGCCGCTGTCGCCATGACTGAGGCTGGATTCTCTCTGTCCCACAGATCTGTTCTTCCCGGGTGCATCCAAGCAGTCCTTCATGCACCTGCAGCCCGGCGTGAGCCACCCCAGCATTTACATTGACACCAACGGGCAGCCCTCCTCCCTGCCCGACGTGGAGGGCTCCGCTGTGCCCCGGCTGGCGGTGCAGAGCCCCGACCCCTCGGTCATCTGCGAGTACAGCCGAGGGGAAGGGCAGAGCAGCTCGGGTAAGGCTGCGCTGGGGCTTCGTGGGGGGGGAGAGGAGGGCAGCAGTGGCTGTTTGGAGCCTGGGGACCTGGCTGAGGTGGGGAGTGGTTTGCACCAGGAGCGCCATCCTGGTGTGGAAGAGCCCGGCTCTGAGCCCAGCCCTGTGGGTGCTGCCTCCATGTCTGCACAGCCCAAAAGGCTGTGGGTGCGTGAGCCCAGAGCACAGTTCTGCAAGCATCAGTGCTGTTCAGTGGCAGGAATCACACAATTGTGTAAGTTGGCGTTTAAGGAAGAGACCTTCAAGATTAAATCCAACCACTGCGGTTCTCAACAAAACAACTTCCGTGTCCACGGCCCCTGCTCTGTGAGCAGTGTTTGTGTAGCGGATCCAAGGGAGGACAAAGGCTGTGGTGTTCCTTGCAGCACTGGGCCTGCGGAACCAACAGCTGTGGGTGCCGGGAGGTGTGCAGGAAGGCGTGCTGAGGGTCGGACAGAGCGTCAGGAAGGGGTGGGGGCAGCGCTGAACCGATGTGGCAGCGATGTGTGCTCACAGGAGGGCTTGTGCTCACAGGAGGGTTTCTGTTCTCTTCCAGCCGAGTCGGGAGCGGAGCTGCGGACTCCGGACATGACAGCCATATCCCCATCCCTGCGCAACGAGTCCCTGGTGTCCTACGCATCCATGTCAGAGGAGGAGGAACGGGAAGGCCGGGAGGTGGAGAGGGGCCACGGCGGGGCGGCGGGGCTGCAGCCCGGACCCGAGGCCCCTATGTCAGCAGAGGAGGACATGAAACTGTCCCGCCAGGCCATGCTGATCCGCCGCTGCAGCTCCCAGGGCTCTGTCACCTCCCTGCCCGAGGACCCTCTCAACTCCGCGGACGCTCACTCGGACTGGGGCCACGATGGTGTGTCCGAGCTGCCCGCCCTGGGCCGCGCCGTCGACTCCTCGCACCCCGAGGAGCAGGCGGGGGGCTCGGGCCCGGAGGCGGGCTCTTTGCCCAGGGTACTGATGGGGCCCGCCTGGGAGAAGCCCCCCGACGAGGATCCCCCGGCTCGCTCCCCGCTGCACGGCGGCGCCCTGACCGAGGAGTCGCTGCCCTCCTCCGCCTCTCCGCCAGGCGACGCCCCGGCCGCCCCCGGCCGCGGCCCGGGCTGCTCCCGCCTGCGGGAGGAGCGCCGGGACAGCTGGAGGACTAACATCCATCACCTGCTGGACCTGGAGGAGCAGTGGGACCAGCTGTACCACCAGGAGCTGGCCATGTGGCAGGAGGAGCGAGCCACGCAGCGCGAGGAGCGCGCCCGGGACCGCGAGCTGCAGTTCCGCCTGCTGGGCGTCCTGACGGACATCCGCGACGAGCTGCGCTACCTGCGCCAGGAGCGGGCCGGCGCCCGCCAGAGCCAGGGGCCGCCTCCGGAGCCCCGGCCGGAGCCCGGCCCGCTCCTCGAGCAGCCCAAAGCCGAGCCCGGCTTCCCCGAGCCGCAGGCGGCGAACGCAGGCTGGGCGGAGACCGCCGCGCCCGGCCGCGGCCCCTTCGGTAACCGGGGCCGCGGCCGTCGCAGGGGCCGACCGCGCGGCTCGGCCTCCAGACACAGACGGCTGTTCCTCGCCAACAGCTAGGGCGGGAGGGTGCCGTCCCGCGAAGGACGTGGTGTGCGTACAGCCCTGCCCGGAGCCGCGGCCGCGCGTTGCTCGCGGGGGCCGGGAGGAGGTCGGTGCCCGCCGTGCCGGCACGAAGGTACGGGGCTGCGGGCGGCCGGCACCGTGCGCGCCTGCCCGCCTGCCCGCGTGTGCGAGCCCAGGCTGGGGGTGCAGCGTCGCACACGCGAGGTTCGTGCGCGCGCCGTGCCGATGGGGCGCGCGTGCGACGGCGCATAGTGGAGTAGGATTTTACTACCTTGGGGGGGGTGGGGAAGTGTTAGGAACACTTTTAGTCGCTGGTGGGCGAACATTTTATGCAAATCATTTAATGACCTAATTTGCATATAACCATAAACTTCTGTTTCAAAAAAAAAAAAAAAAAAAAAGGCAAAAAGAGGCAAAAAAAAAAAAAAAAAAGAAGCCATCACTGCATGTGTTGACTCAGTGTCCCCCATCCCCCACGGTCCAAGCACGGCCCATGCTGGGGTGACAGCGCGGCGTGCTGTCCCCGCGAGGCTGAACGTGTCACCGCGTGTGGGTGATGGCGCTGCAGTCCTTGCTGGGCGGCGCGGGTCCCTTCTGGGAGACAACAAGCAGCCAAAGGAGTGAGACGGGCACCGGGTTTTATTCCTGGTGCCGGTTTGGAAATGCGGGGGGGATGCGGGGAGGGGTGGGCTCTGCGCGCAGCCCAATTCTCAGGGCCAAGAGTTCAGCGAGGGAAAGGAAAATGAGAAACGCCGCGTGTCCCTGCGGGGCTGCTCTGCTTCCAACCCCTGCTCCGGCTCGGGGGACACCGCCACTGTCCTGGGGTGGCTTTGAGCGGGGACCCCACGGGGCCAGGGCGAAGGCGCGGCAGCCCAGCACGACTTTATTCTGCGTTGCACCGTCCATACAAAACGACACCCCAAGCACTGTACAGAGCGGGACGGCACGGGGAGTAAAAATAAGCGGGGGGGGGGGAAAGAGGGAGGGCAGAGCGGCAGGCGGGGACGGGGACGCGGCCGGCGGCGGCAGCTCCGCCCGTCGTTCCCCGGATTGTCGGGGTTGGGGTGAGCGCGGGGCTGCGAGCGGCTGGCCTCGGCGGGGCCGGCCGCCCGCGTTTGGTACGAAGCTCCGTGGCCGACGCGAGCCGCCGGTGCCGGGGGCGGGGGGGGCCCTCAGTCCGCAGCCACGGGCCGCCCCTCCCTAATCTCCGGGGGGCAACCCGGGGGGCTGCGGCGGCGGCGGGGGTCCGGCTTCGGCCCCGTGCACGCGCTGGTGGTCCTTGAGGGACTCCTTGTAGCGGAAGCTGCGGCCGCAGGCAGGGCACTGGTAGGGCCGCTCGCCCGTGTGGATGCGCTGATGCTTGAGCAGGTTCTGCTTGCGGATGAAGCTCTTCCCGCAGGCGGCGCAGACGAAGGGCCGCTCCCCGGTGTGCAGCCGCTGGTGGTTCTGCAGGTGCTCCTTGCGGCTGTAGCACTTCCCGCACTCGGTGCACTTGTAGGGCCGCTCGCCGCGGTGGATCATCTGGTGCCGCACCAGCCCCGAGTGGCAGTTGAAGCTCTTGCCGCACTCGGCGCACGGGTACGGCCGCTCGGCCGCGTGGCTGCGCTGGTGGATGCGGAGGCTTTTCTTCCCGCTGAAGCTCTTCCCGCACTCGGCGCAGCCGTGCGGACGCTCCTCCGACACCGGCACCGGCACCGGGACCCCCACCGGCTCGGCCGCCGGCCCCGGTTCGGCGCTCAGCTCTTTGCTCAGTCTGTGCTGCGCTGCCGCGTTGCCCCCGGCCGCCGCCGGCACGGCCTGTCCCTCCGGGGTCCCAAAGCTCGGGGCTGGGAAGAGCAGCTCGCCCGAGGCGCCCGGCAGCACTTCCTCGGGGGGCTCGGCGCGGGGACAGCGCTGCTCCTCCATCTTCACCAGCAGCGCCTCACCGGCTGCGGGGGGAAAGCTTTGGTCAGCGGCTGGCGGGGAGTGGGGCCGTACCGACAACGTGCTCTGCACTGCATCCCCGGCATGGAAGCACCGGGGTCGTGGGAACAACGTGGTCTCCAGTGCATCCTGACCACAGAAGGACTGGGGTCACGGCGACAATGTGGACCCCAGGGCACCGTCAGGACAGAGCAGCCTACGCACCCTAAAATCCACTCCTGCTTCAACCAGGGCACCACAGCACACGTGCAGGGCCGTCCTCGCCGCCGCCACGATGCCCATCGGGGCCACCCCAGTGGGGTCTCCCCAGTGCCACCCCCAACCCACATCAACACCAGAGCACAGCACCACAGGGGCACGGCCTCACTGCCACCGTGAAACCCACTGGGGCAAAATGGGGGCCAAACCCCAGCACATATCGGCACAGTCTGCAGTGGCTGTGGGCTGTTGCTCACCAGGGCCAGGACCAGGGACGGGACCAGGCAGGATTTCCCTCTCTGGCAGCTCCCAGGGTTCCCTGACGCACGGTTCCTCCTCCTGCTTGATCCACGACAAGAAGTCGTGAGCTGTGATCAGGGCGTCTGCACCTGTGGGGAAGGACAGGGATGGGGACATGGGGCTGTGGGGAAGGGACCGTGCTGAGGGACGGCAGATGCTGTGGGCAATGGAGACTTCACCTGCACAGGGGTCGGTGGGCATCCCCCGCTCCTCCCCAAACTGCTGCTCCCCAACAAATGCCACCTCTTGCTTGATCCGGGACAGGATGTCGGAGGTGGAGATCAGCGGCTCTGTGCACAAGGAGAGATTTGGGCGGCGCTGGGCTGCGGCCACCCAACACAGCCCCACACACTGCCCCAGGGTGTCCGCTGTCCCACAGCAGGGACGGGACTGTGTACAGCTCCCCGAGGGAGCTGTGGGTAACCATAGGACATGCCATAGGGGCAGGTGACCATGTGACATCCCATAGGTTGGGTAACCACAGGATATCCCATAGGGACGGGTGGCCACGAGGCACCCCATGGGATGGGTGACCATGGGACATTCCAAGAAGACAGATGACTGCAGGACATGCCACAGGGACAGGTGACCATGGGACATCGCAAAGGGATGAGTGGCCACTGGATATCCCACAGGTGAGCCCAGAATGGCCCATGGGGATGGATGACCACAGGACATCCCACGGGGTTGTGTGAACATGGGATGTCCCACGGTGTCGGATGACCACGGGATACCCCACAGGGTTGGTGACCACTGGATATTCCATGGTGACAGGTGACCATGTGATAAGGACGGGTGGCCATCAGACATCCTGTATGGTTGTGTGACGACAGGACATCCCATGGGGGTGGGTGACCGGCAGACATCCATCCCATGGGGACAGGTGACTACTGGATGATGTTGGCTGACGGCAGCCCAGCACGCAGGGCCACGTGACAGCAGGGTATGCCAAAGCGATGGGGGACCAAGCACAGCCAGTGGGACCGGATGGCCTCAGCGCAGCCTGTAGGGACGGGATGCTGGAGGTGTGCACCCTACAGGCAGCGGGGCTGGGGCCGAGACGGTGCCTCACCCGCACAGGCATCTGCCGGCATCTCGCGCTGCTCCAGGTCCTGCTGATCGGGGACGCAGGGCACGTCCCCACGCTCCAGCCGGGGCTGTGTGTCACTCCTGGACAGTGCTGCATCTGCTCGGGGGGACACAACGCGCGTCACAGCAGCGGCCGGGCCGTCCCCGTGACGGTGATGGGGGACGGGCAGGACGGCTGCGATATGGGCCCGACGGGGCCGTGTACCCAGGGAGATGAGCGACTCGTAGTTCTCCTTCACCAGGTTGTTGTACAGCTCCTTCTGCCACTCCTCCAAATTCTTCCACTCCTCCGCCGAGAAGTAGACGGCGATGTCAACAAACGTCACCGGCACCTGAAGGGACAAAACCCCGCAGCTCAGCGCTGCCATCCCGATGGGCTCCAAGACCCCCTGCCCCCACCCGGCCCCGGCACGGCCCCACCTTGGGCACCTCCCCGCGGGGGCCGGGGGGCAGGCGCAGCACCCAGAAGTTCCTGTTCTTCAGCAGGTTCTCCACGTGCTCCAGCCGCCGCTGCAGCAGCCCGTACTCCTGGATGAGGGTGCCCAGCACGGCCCATTTGCTCTCCAGCTGGTTGCCAAACTCCATGGCGGTTTTCTCACAGTCCAGGAGTTTCTTCTCGGCCGTTCCCGAGCGGCCCTCCAGGCTGAGCAGCCGGGTGGCCAGCAGGTCGATCTTCCTCTCCATCGCCTGCACTGTGGCCACCACCGTCCACAGCGACGCCTCGGCTGAGTGCAGCTGTGCCTCCCTCACGTGCGCCCGCTCCGGGAGCAGCGGTGGCTGCAGAGGCATCAGGTGGGGGGGTTCCACGTTCCACTCCTGCACCTGCGTGGGGAGGCACGCGCTGGGGGGCCGCGGCAGCGCTGCTCCTTGTGACCCCGCGTCGTCCCAACCCCGTTCTGTGCCCGAGCCCGGGAGAGGCTGCAGCACGAGTCACGGGGCTGCAGAATCACAGAGCTTGGAGCAGGACCGTCTCGTCCGACCACCAACCCGTCCCCACCAATGCCTGCTCCTACAACCATTGAACCTTCGTGGTTGGACAGGTCCTCCATCACCATCAGGTCCCACCGCGTCCCACCCCCACAGCTCCACTCTGAGAATCACAGAATGACAGAACCACGAAGGTTGGAAAAGACCTCTGGGATGATGCCCAGCCATCCCCACCACCCCGACTTCCATAGAACCACACAGGTTGAAGAAGACCTCCGAGATCACCAGGTCTCACCACTGCCCCCTCCACACCCTCAGAGGATCACCGAGGATGGAAGACCACCTCTCCAACGACCAGCCACCCATCAGCCCATCCCATCCCATCCCATCCCATCCCATCCCATCCCATCCCATCCCATCCCATCCCATCCCATGGTGCCAACGCTGAGAGCCACAATGATTGGAAAAGGCCTCCAGGAGCATCCAGCCCCACCACAGCGTGTCCGCGTACCACACGTGCACAGCCCCGGGATGTCCCCACGTGCCACCTGCGATTCACTGCAGATGGAAAAGACCTCTCCCACCCCCAGCCCATCGCCGCACCGACTCACGCGGCACAGCGCTTGGAAGGGACCCCCCCCCCCAACCGGGGTCACCACTGCGCCCGGCACCCCGGCCCACCGCCCAGCGCCGCCCACGAGGTCACCGCATCCTGCGGCGGCAATGGGGCGGGACCCCCCCCACCACCTTTGTTTTTTAGGGGGGGGCTTCTGGGTCGGCTCACGCGGGATCCCCCCGGGTCGGACGCGGGGACGGTGAGGCGCGGAGCTGCGGGACGTCGCGGCGGGGGAGAGGGGACACCGAGGGGGCGAGGGGTGGGGGGACGCGTGTCGACGGGGACATCCGGGGGCGGCCGGGGAGGGGAGGAGCGGGGCCGCGGGGGCCGCATCGGGGCCCTACGGGAGCGCCGGGCGGGGCGGCTCCGCCTCCGGGCAGCGCGCGGGGCCGGAGGGGGGGCGGGGGGGGCGGTCGGCCCGGGCCGCGCTTACCTGTGCGGGAGCCCACTCCGCCATGGCCCCGCAGAGCTGCGCCGGGCCCCGCAGGCCGGGACCGGGCCGAGGCGGGGAGAGAGCGCTGCCGAGCGGGGCCGCGGGGCCGCCCGACGCCGCGCACGGAGCGGGGCCGCCGCGGGGAGCGCCGCCGGGAGCGCCGCGGGGGGGAGCGCCTTGCGGGCCGGGCCCCGCCGCCCCGCCGAGCAGCCGGGGGCAGCCGGGGAACTGCATCCGCTCCCGGGGCCGAGCGGGCGGGGAGCGGCGAGAGAGCGGAGCACTGCCGCCTACCGGCCCGGCACCGACACCGGGCGGCACCGGCACCGCGGCGCTGGGAGCCGAGGGGAGGCGGCAACCGCGGCGCATCGCCGCCCCGGGGCGCCCCGTGCGGGGACGGCGGGGAGCGGGCGGACGGCGGTGCCCGCGGCTCCGGGCTCTCCGCCGCGGCTGCCCGGAGCGCTAGGAGGGGACGCTCGGCCGCCAGAGGTGCGGCGGTGCCGGCCGCGAACCGAGGGCGCCTCGCGCTCCTTCTGGTCCCTCCCTGCACACAGCGGGGTGCTCACCCCACGGACGGGGTCCGACCCGCCTCGGCACCCATCCGGAATGGCAGGAATGCCCGCAGCTCCCCGTCGCGCTGCCCGTTGCTTCGCAGGAGCTCAGCCGGCCGGTCGGGCACGACCTCCTCACATCGACTGCCGATGTTCCTCACGTGCTTGGAAGTGTCGGGTCGGGTGTTAGGAAAGGCTCCGGACGGATATTAGGAGCAATTTCTTCTCCAAGCAGCAGTCGGGCGCTGGCACAGCTGCCCGAGGAGGTGTCACCACCCCGGAGGCGCTCAGGAGCCGTGGGGATGCGGCCCCGGGGCTGTGGGCACGGTGGGGGTGGGCTGGGGGTCTCAGGGGTCTGGACCAGAGTGTCACTGCTTCCCCATCCTTGCATCAGAATGCTCCTTAAATAATGCTTTGGGTGCAGTCAACACGGCTCTGTTCAGCTCCACATGAAGCATCCAGCCACCAATTAACACCAGCTCCTAATCACCACCCTTTGGCCGACACCAGCCGTGCCTCATTGACTCACAGAAGAGCTCCATAAGGAGCACAGAGTCCAACACCACACAGGACCACCCAGAAATCACACCGTGACATTTGGAGCTTTATTCAGCTCAGTAACATCGTCTGGTTTCAAACCTTCCCCTGCAGCTGATAGAAGCCATCACCCCTGGAGGACATTTTGGTAACAGAACACAAAACCTTCCCCAGCGAGGCGTCGGGCCTCCAACCAGTTCACAGCCAGTTGGTGAGCTTGGGTTTTTCTGTAAGGCTTTTTCTGCCCACTTACAGGGCAGCGCTCCTGCGTGAGTTCTCTGCTGTCCAATCGGGGCTGCGTGGTGACCAAAGCTTCAACCACAGTCTGTAGCACTGGTGCTTCTTGCTGTGAACCTGCTTGGTGTGAAAGGTTTAGAAGCCTTTGGGTGAATAGTGGATAGTGATAGGACAAGGGGAATGGTTTTAAAGTGAGACAGGGGAGGTTTGGGTTGGATATGAGGAGGAAGTTTTTCCCCCAGAGGGCGGTGAGGCACTGGCACAGGTTGCCCAAGGAGGCTGTGGATGCCCCATCCCTGCAGGCATTCAAGGCCAGGCTGGATGTGGCTCTGGGCAGCCTGGGCTGCTGGTTGGCGACCTGCACACAGCAGGGGTTGGAGCTGGATGAGCATCGTGCTCCTTTGCAACCCAGGCCGTTCTGTAACTCCATGATTCCATGAAAAATTCTATGAAAAGCCTTCTGCTTTCCCCAAGGACACTTTGGGTGCCAGCACTGTAAGCAAACACTTTGAGGCACCATTTTCCCATGAAAACCTGTGCAACCACTGTCTAAATGCAGCTCTCCCTTTCCCTCTGCAGATGGGTCCAACGAGGAGACGACTGCAAATGATTGCCACAGCTGCCCTGGCACCTCAGGGGAGAGCGAGGAACAGAAGCAGTATTTGTCTTCCCATCTTTAATTCCAGAAATCATAACTAGAAGATTGAAAAGTCAACAAGTGGGAGGTCTTGAACCGATGCAGCCACAATGCACCTCAGCACTGGGTGCACTGTGCCATCGGTGGCTCCTGGCTGCCTTGCTGGCACACTTGTTTTCCTCCAGCTGATTCCTTCTCATGCACTGCACGGCACAAACTCTTCTTTCTTTAATCAGGTCAGAGTTGTACAAAAACACAGAGGCCGTTGTCTGCTGATTCCAGCTGTGTGTAAAAACCACGAGCTACGCAAAGAATAAAAGGGTGGAATTACATCATTGCATTATTTTGTGGATTTTTACATTTGAGAGACTGGAAATAGCAACAGAATGAGGTTAGGCTAAAATCAGCATTTCCCAAACAGCACAAAGCAGAGCAAGCAACTGCTGGGGCTCCTCAGGTCTGCAGTCAGAGCACCTTGCTGTAATTAGCCTGTAATTAGCATCAGGTCTGCTCTGCTGTGAGCCCAAGGAATCACCTGAAAGCTGAGGAAGCAGAGGGGCTCACAGCTTCAGATTTAAAAAGCAGTGCTTTCAAATGTCCTCGGGTACTTCATGCTTCTACTTTCGTACTTCTATGCTTCTCACTTCCAATGAGATTTCTTCATTTCCTGGGCTGTTGCTGGTGTTATTTAACCATCCTGCACCAAACACAGCTCAGTGCTCTGGGGTGAATCACAAAAACTACACGGTGGGATTTGGGGATGAAGGAACACAGAACTCGACTGTGACTCGTTAATCACAGGGCCATCACCGTGGCAGCTTCTTAACTCCCGCGTTTAAACCTTTTCCTTGCTTTAAGGCTTAAGCCTTTTTCTCCTTCGCCCCTCACGTGCAGTACATGCATCACCTGGGGCACCAACGGAGACCCTGGGCTCTCTGGCAGGGCAGCGCCTCCACTGCCCCTCTTACCCCATCCGTGCAGCGCGTGGCTTCAGCTCCTCGCACCACCAGAGGGCGGGGTGGGCAGCACACATGGAGCTGTTAGCAAAGCGAGTCCTTCCGATCCTACAAAGACCTCCCCTCATAAACACTCAGAATTAAGGTTAATCCACAACAGAATCCAAGGGTTTGAGGAGTGAGTGGAAGCCCAGAGGCAGGCTTAGAAACAGCACAGATCCCTCAGCCTTCAGAAATAAAGGGGAAAAATAACCCCCACCCCAAGTGCTTACAGACCTGCAATCCTCTTCATCACCTCCTCCTCGTACAATTCCTTCTGCCACTCTTCCCCTCTTGTGCTGCCACGTTCCCAAACGTCCCACAGGCCTAAAACAGAAAGCATTCAATGCCAGTGCTGTGCTGAACACACTCGAAAGCCCTCTGTTCAAACAGTGTTAGCACAGCACACGACCTATGGAGCTTACAGCTCAATCTCCTCCTGTCATTTCTACATGGAGCATGGAAGCAGCAAGATGACTTTAAAATCATGTGACTTGATGACTTTCTAAAGCAACTGAGCCAAAAATTAGTTGTAAAAAAAAATAAAACAAAACACAGTCAGCGAATTGGAAACCACAGCTGCTGAATTAATAAAATAATCAAAACCTAAGAAATTTCAGAGTGTTTTTAAAGCACATTCTGAGGAGCTGCTGCAGTCCATCAGATCCAGCACCAAGAGTTTCCCCTGCTGATAAGACTCAGAAGGTGATGCAAACAAAAATTAAAGCCCTACGAGTAGTGATGATTAAGACATTTTATGTTAAAAGAGACTGAAGGCAAAATGTTAAAAATGTATTCTCATATTGCCATTAATTTCTTTTGATTCATCCGGATCTTTCTTGAGCTGAGCAGTGCTGAACAACGGCCCCTGTTGCTGCAGTCGGAACCCAAACACAGCACCCATCCATGGTGAGAAGCAGTTCACACTTTGCCTTCACAGCTACTGCATGCAGCACTTGCAGCTGGAACCTGAGCACAGAGAGCTCCCAGATGCATTCAGTCCCCTCTGCCATCAACCTCTGAACGCCGCATTGCTGCCTCCTTGACTGGCATTGCATGAAATCCCTCCTATTAAGAGAAACAAACACAGCTGAAATCTCCTGATTACCTTCAGGAGCTCTGGCTTTGCTTCCGAGTTCAATTACTTATTCCACCACAGAGGCTGTGAGGGCTCCACGTGAGCCGGTTCCCATCTTCCCCCAGGATGAACTTCTCGGAACGGCCCCTTTCAGCAGCCATCTGCTCCTCTTAATTTTTAAGGGGTTGATTTCAAAAGAACCGTCCTCAAAGCACTTTGAACACAACCGCCGGTGCTTGGAAGGCGCCCCCGCGTCCCGGCCCGTGGCGTGGATCCACCGCTTCATGGGGGGCTTTGTTTTGGAGAGGGAAACCATCGAAAGTGACGGCGCCGTCCTCGCAGCCCCCGCTGGCGGCACTCGGGCAGCTCAGCGCCGAGCAGTAAAGCCATTAAAGGCAGAGATGGGAACAGCTCGGAAGTAACGCGCCAGAAGGAGGGCAGCAGGGGCACCAGCTGCTTTAGCTCGAAGCGGGCCGCAATTCTCTGGGAAAACCAGAGATTTCAGAGCGAGAAGAGCTGTGCGCGGGCCGCAGCCCCAGCAGCGCTCAGCTTCACCGCATCGGAGCGACCGAAACACCCGAAAGGGAAAAACCTTTTAAACCAGCTTCAAGGAGCCGTTCGCACACAGCTGCGCGCGGCGCGGACCTCCAGCAATGCAACGCCCTTCGTTAACCGGCGCTTCCGTGAGGAACCCCGCGCGTTCCGCCACCAAGCTCACTGAGGGGCCCCGACAAAGGGCCAGAGCCAAACATCCCGGCCTGAACCCGATGCTTCGGGTGCCCGGGGCGCCGCTGCGGCTCGTCCCGGCGGCCCGCAGGAGGGCTGTGCGAAGGCCGGCCGGCACAACTCCGCTCACCGCCACCACGGCGCCGCCATCTTGCTGCGCGCCGCCCCCCTCGACCCGGTGCGAGCCAATCAGAACGCTCGGTGCGAGAAGCACCACCCCGCCTCCTCTCGCCATTGGCCTGCAGCTGCTTTGCCCCGCCCCCCCGCGCGACTAGCGCCAATCAACGTGGGCACGTGCCGCGCGTCCTCCCAAGGCTGGCCAATGGAGAAAGCAGAGCGTTTTGATTGGAGGAGG